CGTGTTTTTCACAATGTAGTCACACAGGCCTTTATATCTTGGTTTGCTTATTGATATTGAGTGTATGGGAAAAACGCCCTCCCGCCTTCTTTTCTACACTCCCATCTCCATAAACAGGCAGTGTTGGTTCGTACTGGGGCATACAATGTGTGGTATTTGTCAGGCATTTCTATGCTCCATTCAGTGGTCTCTGGCCGTGGGCAGAATTAGTTATGGTAGTTTATCGCTGGCGAATACCACTGTCAAATTCAACCATATCAAAGTAAGTAGGGAATTGCATGAGGCCTACAAGCAATAAAACCTCCATCTTACATACCCCACAGAACCAACCCGGCGGGACGACGACGTTGTTTTTAAAACGTATATATTTGCACAGCGCCGTGTGTAAATTCACTACCATTTTAACCTCATAGGTTGTATTTTGACTCGGTTAGTTTCGATTCCTGTGTCAACATTACGCTTCGGTCTGTATACAATGGCTTGCTTGTTCTACACTCTCTGTGAACCAACAATCGATCACTCAGACCTTTAAATAAAAATCTGTAAGTAATTATTGTACCTGCAAAATGTGAAAGCTCAACTCAGTAAAGTAGAGATTTGATTTGACTCTCTTATGCAGCGGACTAAGATGGGTAATAAGGCTTTATGTTGTTTAATGTGACACATTTGTCAAATGTGAAGCAGAAAGTAAGCAAGAAACAAGGCGCAAACCCGCAAATAAAAACAATTAACGGGTCTAATGAACGGATTGTGTTGACAGAAATTGTTGATGATTAGATGAAGTCATGGAGACTAATATTTTGAAGATATACGAGAATACTATACTAATTATCAACCGGGAATGGAACAGTAAAGAACATGTATATTATGGTTAGTTAAAATCCTTTCGAATTTGCTGTAATTATGTGATTACTATACTTTATATGTGAATTTCCCTAGGTCATACGTCCACGTACTGTATGCTAATATCAGGATGTCAGTCAGTGGACAGTCGGGCCCATATCTAATAATCTGCAGACAAATGTACGCGCTTTTACCATTTGTCATATCTAATTACATAAGTTTCAAGGGAAGAAGGTCAATTTACACCAGTCATAATAATTACAATATTACATTCTGTATATATTTTATGGCGTAGTAGATGTTAATCTTTTCTGGATAAAACACTCCAATGCAAAAGTAGCTCTTGCGCCGTATACAATCATACTTGTGCAGTATGTTTATACACGTAACACCGACAAGTTATACAATAATAATGACAAGCGAAAGTAAAAATGATATATTATACATTTATTTAAGAAATCTTGAAGGTTAACTTTCAACAATGTATCAATGCAGCATATACCAAACACTCATTATGAAATGTCAACAACCGCAGCACCACGTGTTTGGACGGGATAAACCGGTCATTACTGTCCCACTTTTAACTTCGATATATACTTTGTAATTAGCATAAATCGCATCACTGATTTATGTAAACATTCATTTATGAGGTGATAGAACTACAAATGTATGTCTCTTCGTATTTGTAATCTATATGGTCGATAATCGGAAATATCCTCGAGAGTGTGCTATCGACAATATCGTACATTAACTTTAGTGACAGAAACAAGTTTGAATTTTCCAACACAACATATAAATTTAGGACTTTATTCATGGTCAGCTTTTAAATTAAGTTCAGGACGCAGTTTTGTTAGAAGTCCATGCACTACATGTCACTACTCCCCGCCGTGAGTGATGTGCAATATATTCGTTTCTTTGAGACTTTCTTGGCTTTTTTGCTCAAATTTACGTCTCCGATATTTATCGATAATCGATCGATATTTAGGTAACGATTGTCCATCTCTATGATCTACATCGATAGCCAGCTCTAAAGGTCCGCGGCGTCCGCAAATATCATTCAAGGTTGGTTATATATGATTGTTGAAACAAGACAGGTCATGGGAACTCAATCTACACATGGGTGATCGTGCGGCGAAAACACCCGATATGGTTCTGAATGTCATTGAGTGTCAATTGACCTCAGAGAATGAGGACAAAACCGTCATTATCCCACAGGTTGGGGATTATTCATTCAGCCATTGAACACCTATTGGACATTTCCATAACAGTTGCTCCGTTTCAGCCTGACAGCAAATGGAGCGTGACGGAGAAATATCTGGGTATGTCTCCATTTCATGGGATGTATCGCTTCATTAATGAATAGAACTGATCATAGAGGTGAGTGGGTTCCAATGGCACTATGAAAATGGCTCCGGAGTAAATGTATAATCGGGTGACAAGCATTAAATATCTATTCGGATACGCCCAGATTCTGAGTACCACACACGATATGAAAGACCTTTTGCCAACCTTGTTGCATGAAAGGTCATTGCCATCCTAACAGTCACGGTTATTAATTTTTTTCAAGAGGGTATAACATCAACGACCTTTATTTGTGTACATTTGTGTGTAGGATAAGTGTATATCGTGATTTCGCCCCAAAAGAATTTACATAGCTTTATTCCTTACTTACATGGGAGTTCAACTGTGTAATGTGATTGACCATACATGTTATAAAACATATTGTTATTTTCTAGCATATATTGACATGTTTTCACGTTTGACTAGAAATGTTTGTAGATGTTATAAAAGCGAACCGGACGTTTACATAAATATATTGACTGACAGTTACGTGGTTACGGATAATTATGTATGCAAAGATCAACTTCAATAGCTCTGCTTACAATCATGGAGTCAGAGTGGCCCGGGTGTCTAAAGCGCCGTGATTCCCTGTACAGAGTTAAGCCCCTTTGCCGTGCCAGGATCGTGGGTTCTAAACGAATGAAATCCCATGATAGTGACCAACAGTTCGTCCGTGCATGTGGGTTAACGTCTTCCGTTGAACTGTATTAGTCGTCAAGATGATATAACTGAAATACCGTTCAAAGAGGGTTGAGTCCACCTCATTCGCCCTTTCATAATGCACATCAACGTTACAGGCTGAATATGTCAACAAAGATGAAAGTATTTGTTAAATGATCGGCTAAAGAAAACACTCATAAAATCTTTCCAACATAGACTAGATCTACTCGGATACCGATCTCAAGAATTGTTTGATATTAGTTTGTAACTGAGAGGCTTTACGTCTAAAAGCAACAAGTTGAAGTCCTGACGAACCATTCTTAATGCTTTGTCAAGGGCACCAAATGTAATCTGGTTTGTCTTTTTTGTCAGAAGCAATTGTGTGACCGTTATCATTAAAACTGTGTGATTATGTTCTTGAGAAGTATGAAGACTCAGCAGAGACAAATGTAAAGGTTACTTGCACGAATTTTCATGTTATAGTATGTGTGTGTATGTACATAGATAGAGGAGAGTACGCGAGAATGAAAGTGTTCAGATTTTAGGAGGTACTTCAGAGTGACCATGTATACAATATATGTATTGTTAAACCGTTTGTGGTAACGCCGAAGACCAGGGTTCGATTCCCCACAATGTGTGAATCCCATTTATGGTGTCCCCGCCGTGATGTTGCTGGAATATTGCTAAATGCGGCGTAAAACTAAAACGGCCCGGGTGGCAAGTCTGCCCACGTCAACTGTCCACTTTCTCTACTTCCAGGATCTCACCCGAGTGGTTTCTGTGATCAAATATATCAAGACAAGATTCTAACTGTGTTAATTATTTAGAACGTTTAGAAGGCAAGGGGGGTGGGGGAGGGGTGAAATTCGGTTCTAAGCCAAAATTATTCTTCCGTGTTTTGAGTTTGTAAAAGGCTTTAACAAGTGCTTGTGTGTTAAAGGTACAACTAATCAGCTTCAGTGTCAGATGGAATGGTGATGTCGATTACTGTGACGTCATGCTAACAGATGACGTCACAATGGTGTGCAAATCATTGTATTGTAGCCACTCAGCCAGGAGATATCGGTTGATTTCAACCCAGCAATATTTTCCATTGCTGTCAGTTTTGTATTACATATATAAGACCCTCGACCTATGTATCAATCTCTCCCCGTTACATGTGCCGAAACAGGAAACTGAAAACATACTCATTGAGTGACATAATGCTCCAGGGACTGATACGGCTTTCTGATCACCCCAGCTCAACCCCACCCCCACCCCCAACACACACACACATGTACACCCGCCTACGCATAGTGTTCTAATAGGTTTCAAGATTATCTTCAAGAAACTTGCAAATATGTTCAACGTAACTTATATATTCCTGGAAAGATCCTTCCGAGTGTTGAATCTGTTTGGAATCAACACGAATCACTATCTGTAGATATTCCATGTTATGACAACAGAACATGCGTTCAATCATACTATAGGTATATTGACAAACACATTACCTAATACTTCGTGATATCAGTACATGTGCCATGTATTAAAATATATTCAACTTTGCACCACTGGCCACACCAACCAAAGAATCTTTGTCTCGACGCCCCGTGTGACTCACAATACTGAAACGTCACCTGTGATAAATAGCATACATTCACTAATCAGTTGATACGTATATACACCAATGCCCTGGAGCAGACCACTTAACGTTTTCTATCAATATATAACGCCATACTTACCTAATATGTATGTTTTCATATGTATATACCATTATATATAAAATACTTGAAGAGTCTGCAGTCTACAAAATACAGAATGCATGTGGCCTTGTTTAGCTTGTGTGGGAGGCTACATTAAAGCATACTCCTATAGGCTTACCCAATCCCAAACCGGTTTTCGAAGAAGAAAAAAACACGCCTGTAGCATTACTATCAGTGATCAATCCCTGTCGCCTTTATGTAAATTTCAAATGCCTGAGCAATACTGTCAAATAAAACCACAAAATGGCGCGCCCTTACCCATTCATATCGGGTCTCAGGCATGACTGGTGCCTGTTCGCATTTCAAGAAGTGCAATGTATTTATAGCCTTCCATAAATGTTCATCCAACTGGTTGCAATATTGAAGCGACAATCCTTTCGCAGCCACCTCAATTCCTACTCTGCGTTAAGCGTGAAGGGTAACCGGGGAGCCCCTGTTGAGCGACGGGTATTTTGTGTGGAGGTTGGTAATTATAATAACACTGGGAAGGGAGTCACCTCGCCCAGTACACCACAGCGGACACTCCACGCTAATTCTTCGGAGAGTTTCGTAACTGTTTCCCCATTCTAAAATGTTTCACGACTTTAGGATACCCGCATGTTCATGATCACTGGATTTAATTAAGAAAGGTAATTATTTATTATTGTGTTTTCTAGCCACCATGATTTATCTATCTTATCCTTAGCTCGTATATTAGCAGGTAGACATTAATAATATATTTCTGTAATCGATAAGGTTTTGGATGATTTCTGTTGAATCGGTCGATCTTGTTGGTGATGTATTAGTAACCTGAAAGTACGAAATTGGACAAATGGTGTGTTTGACGGATTGAAAGGCAACCTTGTCCCACTGCCTTACTTGAGCCGTTCACGGGTCTGTGAGCACATGCATCAGTATTGAACAGGCTCATCTCCATGGGCTTCTCATTGCTATTGGCATGATGTAAGACGGTTGCTGCAAGAAGGGTCACCCGTGTGTGTCGATATCGCTACTGCTTCATGATCGGTCACACGCTTTAGTCGTATACTGGCAGTCCGTCCGTGTGGGCACTACCTATTTAAGATTCTGTGTTCAATTTCAGTCGTGAGCCTTCTGGAAACTTTTGGATTTTCGTTCTGAAGAATGCTGTTAGAAGATAGTGTAGCTTTGTAAGGTAATAACACATTTTATCATAACTCATGCACCTTAAGTACCCCTGTGGTATAGTAATATGAACATGTGTCTAATTGTACCCAGGTTTGTCGTAATGTGTGTGTCATTAGATATCTTTATACAGAAACTCCATTTGATAAATGAACGTGAAATATAACATCACTTTTACCGTTCTTCGACCGGGCTGAAACTGGCATTTGCATTTAATATTTACTTTGACATTCCAATGAATTAATATGTTATCTTCGTTATGTGTTTGAAAATGCTTACTACAATTACACCTTTAATATGCTTAAAGCGTCAAAAGCAAGGTTTGGCGGTAACTGTGTTATTCAATGACCCCACCCGAAGCCGGTTTGGGCACGATTCGCAAGGCGGGTGTCTCAGCATGTACTATGACTAGAAATACCGGTACATGTTCTTCTCGGCCATTGTTAATAAACGGGGAATCTATTTTTGTTTAGGCGTGAATGTAACTGGCTTTATGTCTGTGAGCTGAGAGAGCAGTGAACACCCAGTCATATAACTGAACACATTCTCAGGTGGAGAAGTGATGTACTTGGCTTGTTTGAAACACTTTTCTCATCATAAATTAATTTAAAAAGCATGTATCGATGTAGCCATGTAACTCTCACGCTTACTTTATCGCATAAGAGTCAAAGGAATCAACGAAAGTGACCGGGAAACGACTGTTATTTTATCCTTGTAGTATCGCTGTTGTGTATTCATTCATCATGATTGTCAGTAAAAGCGACAAAATCAATTCCATAATCATGGAAATCTTCATTGTACGATCCTGGCTATGTCAAGAGAATGTCTTTGTGAACCACTGTCAAGGAGAGATGAATACAGGTGTTCGCGAAAACTGTGTGCATATCAAACCGGCAGCACGTCATCATTTGCAAAGGATAGATATTACCTTAAACAAACATGGGAATACATAGTGCAAGATAAAGTAAGGCCTTTATGTCCCTGATGCGTCCAATGTGGACGTATTCTGCCCATGTCTACCATGTAAGCTTTATTTATGCCTTGGGTGCTGTAACCCTGATCAAATATCGTGTTCAAGGGTCATATGGGGCTCTTTAATGCTCGATTATACCTCAGAATGTTATGAGTGAGTGAGTAAGTTTAGTTTTAGGCCGCACTCAGCAATATTCCAACTATATGGCCGCGGTCTGTAAATAATGGAGTCTGGACCAGACAATCGTGTGATCAACAACATGTGCATCGATCTACGCAATTGAGATACAATGACATGTGTAAACCAAGTTACGGAGCCTGACCACCCGATCCCGTTATACGACAAGCATAGGTTACTGAAGATCAATTCTAACCCGGATCTTAACGGGTACCGAGTGTCATGAAAAGAAACACCCAAGACTCTCCCAATAACCCGTTTACGTCATTCCTGGCTGTCGATGTTTTTATACAGTGAAGCGTAGTTGTTCTGCAATTAATTTAGGAAACGCCTAGTGATGATGATTTGAGGAAATAATGATAACTGATATTACCAGGTAGCCACAATTTTGACCAGGTAGCCGGACATTGATTTATTCCGACGATTTCGCCGGGATCGTCCTGAAAAATAGCTATTACATTTCTGTATAACTGGTCCAAGTCTTCCGCAAACCATGCTTGGTAAGATGTAATGGATCTTATTGACAGGCTGCCGACATGGCTGATGAAGGTCAATTCCGAAATTCATGTCACCCACTAGATTCTCTGGTCCAGACAACACATGTATAATCCGCAACTCAAATTCATATTTTCCATAACAAGGAAATGCTTTCACACCTGCACTGGGGTGGTTGGCTAGCCTAGTGGCCTAGTGATTGAAGTGTGTGCTCATCCCGGTTCTCTTCCTCACATGGGTACAATGTGTGAAGCCCATATCTGGTGTCCCTCGCCGTGATATTGATGGAATATTGCTAAAAGCGGAGTAAAACTATACTCACCCACACCAGCAGTAGGTGTGGTTTAGGGCACACCGGGTGGTCAAAAGATATTTGGTTTATGAATACGTTGGTTGGTAACCTACCCTGAAACCAATGACCAAACCTGTACTTATAGAGCTTCGAAAAGAGTTCGATTGCACGCTTGACCCAGGTTATAGGCATAAAATCAATTACCACGTGTTTCAGTGACAGGTGTATGTCTGGAGACGTGGCGATACTCACTATATTATTTAATTTGTTTCATGCATTTTTCAGCTCATGAATGTGCGTGCGCGCGCGCGCGCGCGTGTGTGTGTGTGTGTGTGAGTGAGTGAGTGAGAGCGAGCGATACTTCTGTTTTATTCTTATTTGTTATGCTTACTTGAACGATTTTACACGTGACATTTTCATCGCGTGCGTTAATGTGTGTTTTTCAGTTGACAGAGTCTCGTAAATAGCTAGGTGTCAGACTAATGTTTAAGACAATGCGCTAGAGCGGCATAAAAACTTGAATAAGAGTGAATTGATGCATTACCTCAAACTATACATGCTCTGTTGTACAAGGAACGTAAAGTGTATATCTAAATATATCTATCACAAACGTCTCTACTTCGTACTGCATCACTGATTTTGTGTCTGTGGCATCACGTAGTGCATACCCGAGAAGGCCTCAAGCTATCTAATCTTAACACTCTGTCTATAAATATGCCCATCTTTAGTACAGGATTCTTGACAATCTGGAGTTGTTGCTCGTCGGGAGCGGTGTTCAGAATTACTCAATCGTGACGCTTGTGCAACGGTCCGATACCACCCATGTTAAATTTTATTAGTGCAGTGATATGTATTTCTCTAGTGTGGGAGTGTGAGCGAGTGAGTGAGTATGAATTTTACGCCGGTTTTAGCAATATTCCAGCAATATCACGGCGGGGGACACCAGAAATGGGCTTCACACATTGTATACGTACCCATATGAGGAGTCGACCCTGGGTGTTCAGCGTGACGCTTTAACCACTAGGCTACCCCACCGCCCCCTGATGAAATATTGCTAAAAATGGGACATCCGATAATTATATATAATTTCACATTAATCCGTGATTTCAATCTTATCCAAAGAAACAAAAATAAACGCCATATATGGTTTCCATTTTAAAAAAAATACCCAATTATGAAATGTCATCAAACAACGCTTTACCAACTGTCACTTTGACTTAACCTGTTTTATCAGTGCTAGTACGGTGAATGTTTAATTTGTCAGGACTTCCTGGTATGTGTGTTGAGTGATTGTCAGTCAAGGTATATGAATGCATTGCAAAGCTATTTCAACTGGCTTTTATAGTCTTGGTTTATCCAACAATCAATGCATTTGCATTTTATTGAAGTTAACGCATAGACGAAAACCGCTTACTGTATGCAGATTTTTCAATGCGGCGTGATCATAACGAGGAGCACACCGATCCTTAGAAGAGGCAGCTATGACTACTGTTGAATGTAAAACTGACAACTTTCAGTGCAATCTTACCACCTCGCGAACCAAGTAATAGACATAGGCCAAGGTATTCATTTGCTTTTCTTGTTACGTGTAAAGTGGCGAATGCAGTGTTCAGTGAAAATATATGTTTACAGGACTGTGGATGTATATATTCATCCTAAAAAAACAGCGTTTCTTCTCTATGGTCTCATTTGAATGGTTTTAATGACATGTGGATGACATTTAGGGATATGAGTCGGTGACAACATTAATTCAAATTCCTATTTTGGCTTGCTTGATGCGTTTCTTCGTTCAGAATTAGTGAGTCAGTGAGTTTAGTTTTACGCGGCTTTTAGCAATATTCCAGCAATATCACGGAGGGGGACACCAGAAATGGGCTTCACACATTGTACCCATGTGAGGAATCTAACCCGGGTCTTCGACGTGACGAGCGAACGCTTTAACCTATAGGCTACCCACCGCCCCCGTTCAGAATTAGAATAAAAGTGAAACAATAAGCGTTTTACCGTCGAATTGTAGTTGGCTGCTTGGTTGGTTGTTTAACGCCGCACTCAGCAATATTCCAGCTACATGGCGGTGGTCTGGAAATAATCGAGTGTGGACCAGACAATCCAGTCACCAACCGCACGATCATCTACTCACGTTAGAGCTATAATATCCATTTGGTCGCTCCAGTTTAGAGATTTGCTCATCTCAGAAAAATTCTGACGTGTGTAAGCGAGTGAGTAAAGTAGTATGCCGCTTTTAGCACAAGTCACCGTGTAAACCACCAGAAATGGGCTTCACACATTATACACTTTTGGGAATCGAACCCGGGCTGTCGGCGTAAAGAGGGAACGCTGTAACATCTAGGCTACATCAGTGTCCTCGCTTCAGGCCCATTTCTGGTGTCCCCCCGCCGCGATATTGCTGGAATATTGCTGAAAACGACGTAAACCTAAACTCACTCACTCACTCACCCAAGCCTACTCACTCACTCACTCACTTCAGCCCACACAAGTCACACAGCATCGCCAAGCAACCATTCTGTACTTGTAAACTGAAGATATCCCTGTAGCTATCATTATTACAAATGCAATAACCTCGATATATGATTGTAGACCGTTATCATCATTATTATACTTCAGAATCCAATCTGTTCAAACGCATAACCCACTGCACTGTAGTGCTTCTTAATTCATACCCATATTCATCTATGCCATTTTAAAATATCCGTACTATTTTTTTGTGTTCTAGGTAATCATGAGGCTTACAACGTGGACGTTAACCACAACGTTGGTGGTCTTGATCTGTATCAACTATTCCTCACCACAGACCACACCACAGACCATAGGTAAGTATATCAGGGAGGTGGGGATGCTTTGGACTGATTGAAAGAAATTCCTATTCACTCTGAAGTGTTTACATATTCGTTCCCAATGATCGCTTAATTTAATCAACAGGTTGCACTGGGGCGTACACAGCTTACTTTGTCGTCGATGGATCGGAGAGCATCAGTACCGCCAATTTTGAAGAAGTTAGGCGAGCATTGATAACGTTTGTTAATCAAAGTATCACAAACAACGGCCTTACCCGTGTTGGAGTCGTGGTGTACAGCAATAATGTGTCTGCTGTCATCAACGCATCCTCGGACATCACCTCACTAGTGAATGCAATACGGGTGGTTATTCATCCAAAAGCAGGAACATTCACACATCTTGGTATAAGAAGAGCGAGGGAACTTTTAGACTTGGACCTTTCTGGAAACCCTCATATCATGATTGTGATGACCGACGGGTTGTCAAACTATCCAAATGATACGAGGGCAGCAGCTGCAGAGGCCAAGAGCTCTGGGATAAGAGTCTTTGCTGTGGGCGTTAATCCTTTGCTGAACTTCCCATCTTCACCATACAAGCGGCGTTACGAACAAGAGTTGGTCGATATTGCCTCGGAGAATTCCACAGCAATTCAAATCGAAAACTTCGAGAATTTAGCCGGCACTGTCGGAATCATTGCTGGAAACTTGTGCAATGAAATTGGTAAGTATTTTAAACTTTAATCAGATACACAAAACAAATAAAGAGTTTATTCAGTATTTCGGCCACGTGGCCCAGAGTAGAACGAAGTAAACAAAACACAGTTCAAGTTACGTGACTGATAAAACATTTGCTGAATCAACAGCTCTTAGAAAAACGTGTTTGATGACGATAGCTTTTGTCAAAATAGTATTAAAATTATTTGAGTTAAGTAAATTGTGCATTGCCTGGTGATAAAGGAAGGTCTAGATGTGTCTAATATTTCTTTTGTATGGTAGCAAAGGCATCACAGATAACCATGAACACTCAGATTTGCAATATATACAAACGATATTTGATGTTCTTCCCGATGTCTTGCATTATAAAATATTGCAAAGAGATTCAATGTATCTATCCTTTGTAATATGTAATAGCTCGTGTATTAATATTATTAAATGTTCTGATGTATGTGTTGAGTAGACTATTTTAGTAGCTGAAATGGTTTGTTGAAATAACTGTGACACTTAACTTATTGTTTTACTTCCTTTGATGGCAGATATGTAGTCGTAATTAGCTGGTTCTCATCGCTATATGGGGGCGGTGGAGTAGCCTAGTGGTTAGAGCGTTCGCTCGTCACGCCGAAGACCCGGGTTCGATTCCACACATGGGTACAATTTGTGAAGCCCATTTCTGGCGACCCCCGCCGTGATATTGCTAAATGCGGCGTAAAACCATACTCACTCGCTCACTCATCGTTATATGGCTGCAGTATTGCCGATGCGATGTAAACTTGTAACTCACTCACTCACTTGTAATATGTGTTTCAGTGTCTGTCGTCAATCGCCCAATCAGCATCACACTCTTGGTTGGTGGGACAGCGTCATTTACAGTGGGCTTCAACCGACAGCCAACGGGCGGTTCCTGGCAAAGATTAACACCTTCACGAGCCGACCTGACAAGTGATAACAGATTCATAAAAGGTGGCACCAATTTAGAGAGGACATTGACTGTACCCGGCGTAACGCTCGGAGATGGAGGAACATATGCATATTCGGTCGGCAGCCTCAATCCACAAGCCATGTTAACTGTATTGAGTAAGTACATTCTTTGAATGTCATTTAATAGTTGGGAATGGGATTAATGACGTCATAGCATGATCATTCTTTTAACAAATTTAAAACACATATTATCTGATAACACACTTAGGAGTTTTATATATTTTATATACGTATCTAAGTACTGTTTAGGGACGGTGGGGTAGCCGAATGGTTAAAGCGTTCGCTCGTCACACCGAAGACCTAGGTTGGATCCCCCACATCGGCCCAATGTGTGAAGCCCATTTCTGGTGTCCCCCGCCGTGATATTGCTGGAATATTGCTAAGTGCGGCGTAAGACTAAATTCACTAACTCACACCCTCACTAAATATTGTTTAGTTTGTATAAACGATCCTTCGCAATATAATACAGTGCTCGTTTGTTTATCAACTAAACATTTTTCGTTTCAGCTCCTTTAACCAACCAAACAGGATCAGTTGGACAGCCAACCACATTTACCACGCAGGTCACCCCAACCGAGGCAGCTGACGGTTTCTGGTTGAAAGATGGTGTGCCTTTGACTGCGGGTTCCGCGAAATATACCATCACGAGGACAGCTACCGGACGGAGTCTGGTTGTGAATAATGTTGCAAGCGGTGATCAAGGCCGATATACCTTTAGCCTAAACGGAGTCACAACGGACGGTTATCTCACAGTCCCAGGTATATTTCTTTTCATGATTCATTGTGAATTGTACGTTTTTTGCCAATGTTTCAGTTTATGATCAACTTATTGGTTTTATCTGAACGATAAAATTGTATGATAATGGGTTGGGACAAGAAGTAATTTGTAACTATTTGCATGAATAATCATAGTTACATTTTGTTGTTGATTGGTCGTCCATTCACATGATGTGCACCCGTGACGATCCGGCTTAGAATTGGTCTTCAGTAACCCATGCTTGTTCTGGGAGGCAACTAACGGGATCGGATGGTCAGGCTCGGTGACTTATTTGGCACATGTCAGCGTATTCCCATAGCGTAGATCGATGCTCATGTTGTCGATCACTGGATTGTCAGGTCCAGACTCGATTATTTACAGGCCGCCGCCAAAAACCTGTAATATTGCTGAGGGCGGAGTAAAACAATAAACAAAAAAAACAAACCATGATGTGCACTTTTCCATAGTACAGTACTTTCACAGGTTGGATATTTGTTGTTTGAGGTTTACACTGAGCTGTTTGTTTACGGGCGGTGGGGTAGCCTAGTAGTTAAAGCGTTCGCTCATCACGCCGAAAACCCGGGTTAGATTCCCCACATGGGTACAATGTGTGAAGCCCATTTCTGGTGTCCCCCGCCGTGATATTGCTGGAATATTGCTAATACGGCGTAAACTAAACTCACTCACTCACTCGTGTTTGTTTCAGCTGTTATTACAAATAACTTGCGAGATATAACTGTCCTTGCTGGAGCAAGCCCACAATTTGTAGCATTTGTCAGTCTTGCTGGTGTCACTAACGGCGTTTGGACAAAGGATTCGGTTGACGTGACAAACAACGGCAGATATACCAGAAACACAGTCGGTGCTCTACAGTCATTGAGGATACCAAATGCTCAGAACGCTGATGGAGGTCTATACACATACAGTGTTGATGGATCTACCTCACAGGCCACTCTCACGGTTATAGGTAAGTATCCGTGGTTTGCGATAATTATAGTAAGAATCCTAATAAACTCAAATCGTTTGGTGCTACGTCCTTTCAGTATGCAGCTGCTACCCTTTGAAACTCTCTTCCTCTTGATCTAAAACTAGTACCAACTCTGCCACTCTTCAAAAACAGATTCAAAACACACCTGTTTCAACGTTGTTTCATAAATCCGTGTATTTTCTTGTACATATGAACTGTGGCTTGTCAGCGCTTTGACCAGCGCTATATAAATACTCCCATTTTTAATACAATTGTCCTGACTAAATCTGTCAGTGAGCTCAAATAATGTTCAGGAATATAAAGATACCCAAATCATGTTCAAGAATCACACATTTAACGTTAATAGACCTCAACACTCGTGTTTAAGCTGACATTGACTGGAATCAAGGACATCCGTATTTATGTACTCAAGCCACTTTGTAATTCGATATCTACTTTGTTTCAGGACCACTGGATAATTTTACGAGAAATGTGGGGGAGCAGCAAAGCTATATTGTGAACGTATCGCCTGGAACTGCAGGTGGAGCTTGGTTTAGAAACGGTGTCCTGCTTAGCAATGGTGCCAAGTATGCCATCACACAGAACTCAGGTCCTGTCCGGCGCCTCACTGTAAATAACATTCAAGCAGGCGATGCTGGAGAGTATGTCTATGTCGTCAATACCGTTGAGTCAAAAGGATATCTGACAGTGAGGGGTATGTAAATTTTCACCTGTGTACATACCCGTGAAGATCCGGGTTAGAATTGGTCTTCAGCAACCCATGCTTGTCGTAAAAGACGACTCACGCGGTCGGGTGGTCAGACTCGCTGACTTGGTTGACACATGTCATCGTATCCCGATTGCGTAGATCGATGCTCATGTTGTTGATCACTGGATTGTCTGGTCCAGACTCGCTTATTTACAGACCGCCGCCATATAGCTTGAATATTGCTGAGTGCGGCGTTAAACAATAAAAAAAACACCACCTCTGTACATACTAATATTGACAGATGAACCGTAGTAATATGTATCACATTGTCCTTAACTTCAGCTGAGTGGTACTTATAATCATTAATCGGGATATGACATTGACCATTAAGTAATTTCCCAATTTCTTGTATAGAAACGAGTGTTAATGGAGGATTTTCCCAATGGAGCCAGTGGACCGGTCCGTGCCCGGTAACGTGCGGGAGTACGGCTACAAAGAGCCAGACACGAAGTCGACGCTGTGACTCCCCTGCTCCATCAGGTGGTGGAGCTCCCTGTGTTGGGTCCACCACCGAGACCATAATCGTCAATTGTGGATTGGGCAATTGTGCAAGTAAGTTGCCGTACATCTAGACACCTTTCGATATGTATTCATTTACCTTTGGGGTCGGTCGGTTAAGCTTTGGTTTAGGCGTTCGAAGGCCATGGTTCGAATTGCCATATGAATACCGTGTGTGAAGCCTAATTCTCTTCTTAACATTCAGACATTACGGTCCAAATGGAAGCTTTGGATGTATCAAATCCCAGTTTGTAATATCAGTCTGTACTCAACGAATGCTCATTAGTGTCAGTTATACTAAACTATGAAACTATCCATGTCGTATATTGTCGCTGCACATGCGACCAACTTTCGTCCAGGCATTCTCTGAATTACCATGCACTATTATCTCGACTATAAAACTGCGTGTGTTTACAGATCGTTACTAACTGTATATATTCCCAAACGAAGTAAGTGGTTATATTATTATTGTTTAACTAAAAACAATTCAAGACAACGCCAACTCGATCTCTATGAAGGGGCCACGGGGTAGCCTGGTGGTTAGAGCGTTCGCTCGTCACGCAGAAGATCCGGGTTCGAATCCCCACATGGGTACAATGTGTGAAGCCCATTTCCGGTGATAGTGCTGGAATATGGCGTACAACTAAACTCTTTTAAATACTATAAGCATAAACCGATTGCACGAACTCTGGGACCTGCCTCACCAACACTTCCTGGTATAGGTGAGACCTCTATTCATGGAATAATATTATTATACTCATGCGTATAATAAACAAAATCTGAATTATCAAGTGTTGTGTCAACGTCGGGTGAGTTGCTCAAAGTCAAATGAAGGCTCAAGCCAGGTAAACCAGTGGTTGCTTGTGTGAGGAGACGATCAACGAATTCACCAACTTTTGTAATGTACGCTGTGCGGTTATTTGTCCGGACTAAGATATTTAAAGTTTTCTCACATAAATGGGTATTATGTTAGCGGGGAGGCTTTATGAATATTAATGGTGAGCTTTATTTCAGAATGATGCATTTGGGTTGAAACGCATGGTCGAATGTTTACAAATGATTGTTCTTCAGTAATAGCTACCATTTCAAGAACCATAGAATAATTTAAATGATATTTTTATACATGGAATTGATGTTCCATATGTATGCATATACCCGTGTATCAAGCCTGTCTCAAGCTCACATTTTTCAAAATACATTGTCAACATGCTACCCTGTTTTTATTTTAGCTGATGGAGTATGGCTGACCTGGCAAGGTTGGTCTGAAACTTGCCTCGCTACATGTGGTGTAGGCGTTAGAGGAATACAACAGAGAGAGAGAGGCTGTGTTGAACCTACTGATGGTGGAAGGCGGTGTTTCGGCGAAAGTCTTCAGACGAGATTCTCAATATGCAGTTTACCATCATGCGCTGGTAGGATTCTACATTATCTTCATATTTGTAGCAAGCCCCATATCCGTGTTGTTTAATGATAATAAGTACTAATAATGGACATGTATTATGCGCCTGTATCCACACACCTGTACATGCTCATGGCACTACAATAACATAATATACTCCAAAATATACATTGTGGGTTTGAAGAGTTATAAAATTGTAATAGGTGTTCTTGAAGAGGTCGGTTTTATAGCGTTCCGCGCAATTAAAGCTGTAAGCAGTGCAACAAATATGTATCCCATATACTGATATCATGCATATAATACAGCCTTGTCAATTTCGATTTGATACTTTGTATTTGTGTACACATCACTATCTTTGGACTATTCAAACTCATTTGTATCACTTCCCACAATGCTGTTATTACATATATATCTCCGTAGTATAAGTCGATTAAACGTATTGGAAAAAATTATGTTGTCATGGTAATAGCGTGCAGTAAATTCACATCTTGCCCGATCCAAACTCTTGTCTTTTCATCACTTCCAACCATGTTGTTCTTACTCATATATCTCCGTAGTATAAGGTGATCAATGATATTGGAAACATGATGTTGCCATGGTAATACCGTGCAGTAAATTGGCAGTCAGTCATTCCGCCACTGACCATCTTGTTATAGCACCCTGTGTTCTCTTTTGCAGTTGATGGTGGGTTCACTCAATGGACTCTGTGGAGCAACCCTCCCTGTGACGTGACTTGCAACACAGCCGCCACTAAAGTGAGCTCCAGAACTAGGACTTGCACCAACCCTCCGCCATCTGGTGGCGGCAGAAACTGCACAGACCCGTATGAGGAAATTAGGAATGTAAACTGCCTTCTCCCTGCATGTCCAAGTAAGGTTGCTCATAGTCTAGATGCTACTGACTCCGAATTCAGTTTGATAATTGTCAAGATAATTTTCGCAAAGGGCATGATCATATGAAACTAAAGCTTACCAGGAAAGTTTACTGTTTGAAAAGCGAATGTCTTTCTTCGGCAAAAAGTTTAATTTTTTATAATTATATCAGTTATACAACACTGTTGAATGCACAAAGATGTAATACCTTTGCGATTGGTTACTATCACCATGTCATCCTAAACTGTAGATATGTACTTTCAGACAGAGGTACATTCTTTTCAACTCTAATCGATAATCTTGATGTTGAAATGTATGTCAAAATATAGAAAATGGAAGAGCATGACATGCTAGCATTGTTTCTTGGGGCCAATAACAATTATATTGATGAAATAACAAGGCATTTCACTATTATAGAATTCTCAAAGTGTTTTTATAAACTAAAGGATATCCTCAATCACCTGTGGTAATAATCTAACCAATACATGGCTGTTAATAACCTGAATATATTTAGGAAATTTTCCCATATTCTATGTATGTACATGTATATATGTGTGTTTGTGTGTGTTTGTTGAGTATTCTGTTACTCAGTTATATAATTACATTACCATGATGTTTTGAGGATCTTCGGACCTATCTGGATGACATTCATTCATTCATTCATCCATGCATTCATTCATTCATTCATTCATTCATTCATTCAACCCTATTACACAACTGAACATGTCTTAACTGCACTATTGCCTGCCATGGAAAGGTTTTCTGGTCGAACTTAATGTTATTCTCAGGGTGTAAATATTAAATGAATTAAACTTATATCAAAGTAATCATGTTGAGGTGTACAGATACACGTAAAGTTGTATTTCGGAACATGTCATACAAAAAGCTGAAATTATACTACTGTTAACGACGAAATCGCCTTTAAGACGCCTCATGAATTGACTGAATTATGTATAAATGTCTTCATGATCAGCAAAATGATTGTCTCAGCTGTAATACCTCAGCTTGCAATACTGGATTCTAAAATAGTTTCAATTTGCTAGAATCCATCCCGGTGAATGTCCTAACCTATATCTTCACTGTTTTCGTCGCTTTAACCTCTAATATTTGCCTTTCGTCTTACGCACTGTTCAGTTGATGGTGGGGTATCTCCTTGGGGACAATGGTCCCCCCCTGCGTGTACAGCAACATGTGGTGTGGGTGTCCTGGGATTTTCTGTTCGTCAGCGGCAATGCACTAACCCCTCACCAACAGATGGTGGGAGAGATTGCACTGAACCACTGCAAGAAACTGGGAACATTCCATGCACTGGTCTTCCTCTTTGTCCGAGTGAGTGAGCAGTTCACATCGGTTTGCTTGTAATACAAATCTTCTTATATACATATAACTTACGAAAGAGTATTGAATAAACTGCTCTGTTTTATGCTTAAAAGTTTCCATTTTAAAGGTTGCTGAATTTCCACGATTTGAACAGTTTCAGTAAATCGGATCGTTTTGTAAAGTTGATGTTAAAATGTGTTATACGTTCTTGTATCTGCTTCCACTTATACATTCGTCCATATGCTTCCAGCTTGGCTCCTTTATCCAATGTCATAATTCCATGTGGTATATAACACCACCCTATCATTGCGTTTGTTCTTAAAACTGCAATAAAAAACTTGCTATTCATACGCTTGCTTTCATACATATATATTCAGGACTTAACCCCGGATAACGATTTATATTTATTTACATTTTATATACCTTTATGTACAAAATATTACCTTTGTGTATAACCTGTACTGAACACGACGCATGTGTTATAGCTTTTTACAGACATTCACTCTCTGCTATCTAAACAGTACACGAAGCTGTTCTCTTTTAAGTAGCTAAAGGCCTAAATCGCAGAAGACTAGTGTTACCAAGAATTGCTTTTCAACCACAGTTGACGGTGGATTTACTCCCTGGAGTGCGTGGAGCCCGGTCGTGTGTTCTAGAACATGCGGCTCCGCTGAGACCGCTACAATCAATAGGAGGAGGACCTGCACTAACCCACCTGTCCAGAATGGAGGAAGAAACTGTACCGGCGCATACGTCGAAACTCTTGTAGTACCCTGTGGTCTTCCTCGTTGCCCAAGTACGTTCTTGTTTGATTACCAATGTTCGACCCGTGAAGATCTGGGTTAGAAATTCAATTGATCTTCAGCAACCCATGCTTTTCGTAAGAGGCGACTGATGGGATCGGGTGGTCAGGCTCGCTGACTTGGTTGACACGTGTCATCTTATCCCAATTGCGTAGATCGATGCTCATGATGTTCATCACTGGATTGTCTGGTCCAGACTCGATTATTTACAGACTACCGCCATACAGCTGGAATATTGCTGAATGCGGCAGTAAACAACATATATACACAAAAAAGGCAAATTTTTGGGTGTGACGTTCTGTATGTACACGTTTTTTTACCCCATACGTTGGTAATTGCATCTTCACTTGTCATACACTGCGATATCTCTCTGGGAAGAATACATTTCGAGAAAATATGTATAAATATACAAGATCAAATAATAACCATCGTTGAGTCTTGACTATTCTCAGAAACAGATTCCAATATCTGGTAAGGTTGAAAAAGATGCGATATTTGTGAATGGATCACTGGAACTCGGTCATGACACCAAGCTGTCGGAAAACGTTAACATTACTAAAAAGACATTAACCTGTAAGCGTTAGTTACTTAGTATTTTATCTTGAAATATGTTTCTCTTTATTTCCATGTACAGCTTAATGTATTGATCACTCTTGCCTTACAGTCGATGGGGGTTTCAGTGTATGGACATCATGGGAAAACGTCACACCATGTAATCCTACTTGTGGCCCTGTTTCTACGAGACAAGTCAGGCAAAGGAGGTTTTGTAACAGCCCTGCCCCATCCGATGGTGGTAGAAACTGTACCGGGGCTTTTGAAGAACTCAGATTTGTAAACTGCGCCGTTCAACCCTGTCCACGTGAGTACTTTAGTTAACATGTCGAAGTATTTCATGTCTTACTGCTTACTTATACTGCTGAAACAAATACATACTCATGGTATAGTCAGACTTGTACAATCGACTCTGCTGTTAGCTGTTTCTTAGGGATGTGTTAAGGATTTTGACGCTTCTATTTCTATAACTGTTTTGCAATTTGCGTACGATGGATTATGTTTCGGTGGTTAATCGATGCTGGTTGGCCTCTTATTTTGAAGGGGAGGTAGGGTAGCCTAGTGGTCAAAGCCTTTGCTGATTGCTCCGGAGAGCAAGGTTCGATTCCCCACATGGGTACAATGTGTGATGCCCATTTCTGGTGTCTCCCGAAGTGATATTGCTGGAATATTGCTAATACGGCGTAAAACTAAACTCACTCACTCACTCTTACTTTGACGTTGTATATTTTCCATTGAAAAACACGTATTGTGTATGTTGATAAAGTACATAACAGAGAGCATTGAACATCTGATATATTCCAGCTCTGATATATTCCAGGTGATGGGGGTCTATCTCAGTGGAGTCCGTGGAGTGGTCCTGGATGCACCCAGACATGTGGTCCTTCATTCAACAGGACGGAAACAAGAACTAGATCGTGCACCGACCCAACGCCTGCGAACGGTGGACGCGACTGTTCACTACTTGGATCCACATTTGGCGTTCGAACATTGAGCTGTGGTCTTCCTAACTGTCCTGGTGAGGCATGCAGAAGTCAGCTGATATAATATATTCCTCATGAATATTCTTAAACTCAGCGGAACTCTTTTTTTATCTGAAATCACCAAAATACATTCAGGCAAATGCAATTTGGCCGTTAAAGTGTCAAAGTCAAAGAAAGATATTAAAGTGAAAACTTAATTATGTATGACTGAATGTTAGCATATAGAGACTATACAACACATTCATATTCGCGTATTCTCATGATAAAATGTATTGCCATGGTCAAGAGGTATCCAAAAGGAAAAGGATAATGGAACACATTAATGTACAAGTGTTCTTTTATACATTTCCAGATAATCAGGGCAGGGCAATACAAAGCTTACGAAAAGCCCTGGAAAGGAATATAAAAGAAAATATTATGTTTCCCTTCTTTCGAGTCCTCCAGTATATAATACGCCCTGAACATGATTCGCATGTTCCACATCTCTCCGTGTTTTTGTTTGAGAAACAATCTGTCTCATAATACACAATCCATATTTTCAGTTAATGGGGGCATCACGCAGTGGAGCCAATGGACCATTCCCGCCTGTCCAGAAACCTGTGGACGTCTGGCTACTAGATTTCAGGAACGGTTCAGAACCTGTACAAATCCTGTCCCAGCATTTAATGGAGCTGACTGTCCTGAAACAATCCGTTCCGAAAACAGACGTACATCCTGTGGTCTTCCTGATTGCCCAAGTTTGTTTCTTTGTTCATTTGTTGTTTAAATCCGCACTCAGCAATATGCCAGCTATATGTAAATAATCGCGTCTGCGATAAACATCAATGGTACCTTTGATTGTTCAGGTCCAGAATGAGGTTGAAATACGATATTATGTTTACTAATATACTGTATATATTTTCCAAGAGAACGCAAAATTCCAATTGAGTCAATACTTTGTAATATTTCCTATTAGTTGGCAATACATCTGTGAACATTCGAACAAAATCAATACTATTTTGTACAGAGTTTACTTACGTACAAATAACATTTCCACATTGCTTTTCAGTTGATGGAGGTTACACTCAGTGGTCGTTGTGGACACAACCTGTATGTACTGTGACATGTGGTCCAAATGAAAGTGGGTCAGTGTCTAGATTCAGGACATGCACCAACCCCTCACCACAAAATGGAGGCAGAGATTGTTCTTTGCTCGGACCACCAAACGACTCTGCCACCAGGCTCTGTGGACTTCCAAACTGTCCAAGTGAGTTGTTTTTGTAGTATTTGTTGAGGTTTGATATTAGCTTGATCTGGGTCGATGTTTATGCTGATATACTGAAGTCCCCGAGCTTTATCATAAGTTTAGTAGCATGAATCTTAGTTGAGTCAACAAAAGTGTTTGGACCGAGACACTGACACCAATGAGTCGTAAAAGCATAGTATTTCCAACACATTTTCCTTTATCCCTAAGCAGTGGAATCGCCCCTTTTTAGTTGTGGTAATTCCAAAATCAACAGCTGTTTATTTCTGGTCCATCGGCTTGGTGGTGTAGCCTTGCGGTTAAAGCGTTCGCTCGTCACGCGTTCGATTTCCCACATGGGTACAATGTGTGAAGCTCGTATCTGGTGTTCCCCGCCGTGATATTGCTGGAATATTGCTCAAATCGGCGTTAAACCACACCCATGCACTTACTCTGGTCTATCGATCACTGGATTGTCTGGTTTATGAAGGGTAAGCGTCCCATAGCAAGACTACCCCTGCAGGGCACAAATGACATATACTTACTTTGTGTGAACTGTGAGTGCAGGACATGTTTACCCTTTTCGTGAACACCTGGTGTTATCACTAAGTTTCCGTGGTACATTCATATGACTTCACAACTATTTTGTTGTTCTGTTTCTGAGGATAGTCAAGACTCGGTATTCCTATGTACTGATGTTTTATGCTCATTTCAGTGTTGAGTACACGTGAACCTACTCGGGCTGATGCGTATATTTTATAGTTTTTTAACAAAAGATATTATAATGTAATGTTTAATTTGAGATATCGTCTTATAGACAATATCATATTAACCTGGATGTAGAATTATTATTGTGTTTCTTTAGTTAACGGAGGTTACAATCAATGGACCCAATGGAACGTACCTGCATGTGGGGTGACATGTGGTGCAGCCACTACAAATGCGACCAGAAGCAGATCCTGTATTAACCCATCGCCTGCTTTTGGTGGTCGCGACTGTACTCTACTCGGCAGTTCATTTGAACAAGTTACAAGAAACTGTGGACTTCCGAGTTGTCCCGGTAAGTAATAAGCCCTTCCCTGTAACCACACACTCCTACAACGAATTCACAAAATTGTCTCACATGTTGTAACCGTCAGGACAATAGATGATTAACCTGATGTTTTATGTGTATCCGTTTGTGTAGTTGCACACGGTTCAACCCGTGAGGATCCCGGTTAGAATTGGTCTCCAGCAACCCATGCTTGCTGTAAGAGGCGAGTACCGGTGGTCAGGCTCACTGACTTGGTTGACACATGTCATTGTATCCCAATTGCGTAGATCGATGCTCATGTTTTCAATCACGGGATTGTCGGGTTTTTATATACCGCCACCATATAACTGGGACATTTTTCGGCGTTAAACAACAACCAACTAACCACAGTTCCTCACCTTCCTTCATGTCTTTGAAGGGACGGTGGGGTAGCCCAGTGGTTAAAGCGTTCGCTCGTCACGCCGAAGACCCAGGTTCGATCCCCTACATGGGTACAATGTGTGAAGTCTATTTCTGGTGTCCCCGTCGTGACTATTGCTAGGACATTACTAAAACCTCATTCATTCTTCCTTTATAGTTGACGGCACGTATACACCGTGGAGTCAGTGGAGCAGCCCGCTGTGCAATGTGACATGCGGACAGGCGGCAAGAAAGATTGAGACAAGAGTACGAACCTGCATCCGCCCACAGTTCGGTGGATTAAACTGCGCTGGGCCACCTGTGGAAACTAGGGAAGTGTCTTGCCAACTTAATCCATGTCCTTGTGAGTAAACATTTAATATATATGAGTAAATATAGGACTCCATTCAAAATAATTTGCTTTACATACGATTGAATGTCAAGACTCTTATGGTATCGGTAGAGAGGACATCACTGTCTGATAGTGTTTCATTAACACATACTTCGTAGAGATAAACACATAGTACTTTGTACTATAAAGTCTGCCTTTAGCATATATTTCTTCATATGAATATGGTTGTGTCATACATATTATAATACCATCAATCATACCGACCATTACCCGTGAACATCCGGGTTACAGTTGGTCTTCAGCAACCCTTGCTTGTCGTAAGAGGCGACTGACGGAATAGGGAAGTCATGCTCCTTGACTTGACACATATCATCGTTTTCTTATTGTGTTGTACACTGTATGGTCCGGTCCTGACTCGATGTACAGAACTCCGTCATACAGCTGGAATATCGTTGAGAGCGGCGTTAAACAACAAACAAACAAAAACAACATACAGACAGTTAATATGAAAGAATTCAGGGCCTCGTTTCACAAAGCTAACGTAGCGCTACGACTGTCGTACCTCCTATACTGTAACATAACTTACTGCAGTCGTAGCGCTACAATAGCTTTGTGAAACGGGGCCAAGATTACGGTTGTATTTCCAAATGAGAAGGCTGTACAGACAAAGAAATGATTTCCAATTTCCAATACTCGATACTTGAACTCCACCCTTATGACGTACAATAAATAACATTTGACACAATCATAAACATCTTCTTCTTCGTTTGGACACTTGTGAGATGATGGACACAGCAAAAATATATATGAAAAAGCACTTTTGTCATTTGCTAATCTATTTCATTTGGACTTTTAGTGTTGCTTGACACTGTTTTGTTTTAGTGATGCTTGACACTGTTTTGTTTTAGTGATGCTGACACGATTTTATTTTAGTAATGCTTGACACGGTTTTGTTTTAGTAATGCTTGACACGGTTTTGTTTTAGTAATGCTTGACACGGTTTTATTTTAGTGATGCTTGACACTGTTGTTTTAGTGATGTTTCACACTGCTTTGTTTTAGCGGATGGAGGTTACTCCCTATGGAGTCCCTGGAGTGGCGTTCCATGTACAGGTACCTGTGGCTTATCGTACACCAGAACAGTTTCCAGATCAAGACTCTGTAACAACCCAACTCCTTCCTTCGGAGGCCGCAACTGCGACCTACTTGGGCCTTCGACACAAACCGCAGAAAGGCTTTGTACTCTACCACGTTGTCCAAGTGAGTAAATATACTCTTCGTCATATTGTACAAGTACTGCAACTGTCCAACAATATTATACATTAAACAATTAGCGATAACGCTAAGATATGCTTTGATCAGTCTTTTAGGAAACGTCATTCCATAGCCTACCGTTTCATATGAATATAGGGGCGGTGGGGTAGCCTAGTGGTTAAAGCGTTGGCTCGTCACGCCGAGGACCCGGGTTCGATTCCCCACATGGGCACAATGTGTTAAGCCCATTTCTGGTGTCCCCCGCCGTGATATTGCTGGAATATTGCTAAAAGCGGCGTAAAACTCAACTCAGTCAGTCAGTCATATGAATATAATTTTGCCATGTGTCTCGGCGCTGTGCTCTTGAAACCAGGCTGTCATTAAACAAAAATATTGTGAAAACTGAGGGCAACCCGTTTTGGTCAGCCGGAGTATGCGCTATATCCTGGTAAAGTAGTATTTCTCTTAACATAGGGAAACCCCGAAACATTTACGAGACCATTACGGAAAATGTAGGCATCAAATTAAAGCGTTGATCATAAACGTCCCAACGGCACCCAAAAATATATACATTTAGATGTGTGTAGTTATTGGGGAGACACAACAACCATAGACACATGAGAAATGAGTGCTAATGAGTGAAAGCCAAACTTACCAAAACGTTTTCAATAGATGATTAAGGTAGCAAATACATGTCAAGCCGTGAACTACGATTATACAGCCAGAGCATAAAATATGTTGGTAGAGGTGTGACGATACAGAAATTTCACGATACGATACCTATCGCGATATCTGGAACGATACCATTCGATACGATATCACGATATGCTATCTTCAGTTATTTTCTTTCAAAAAGTATATTTTGATAGCAAGTAACAGTGTAAATTTTGACATAACCGTCAATTTCTGGTGAAAATTAACAATTTTAAGGTCAACGATACATATCACGATACGAAAAATAGTATCGATATATTTATCGTCAGATAAAGTATCACGATTATCGAAACTACGATATACCGTCACAGTTCTATTTGGTGGTCCAAAAGTCTCTTACAATTGGATAATTACAACCGCCGGGTTTCACTGTAAGGCAACAAAAGATAGACAATTAAGTGAGAGAGCACTTGGATAGACTGGTGTTTGGACCCGGTGACACAATGGAAAGAAATTAGCAGCGTTTATCCGGATCATGTCAGGTTAAATTACCATGACAATATAAAGTGCCTCTTGCATATAACATGATATATCTGCTACCAGTGGTGGTAAAGGTCTGCTCATGTTTCCTACTTTCAGTCAATGGAGGCTTCACACCGTGGGCACAATGGAACATCCCTGCATGTGCCAGAACGTGCGGTACTTTTGTCACCAGAACCGTCGACAGGAGCAGGACTTGCACTAACCCAGCACCTCAGTTCGGCGGTGCGTCATGCGTGGGTGGTGTGTCCGAAACCGAAGTCAGGAGCTGTGGACTTCCCCCTTGCCCAAGTAGGTTGTGATAGTGACTTGTCTTGTGTTCACACAGATATTACAGTCTTAATTCGATGTGTTGGTCCTGAGAGTTACGCCAGTGACTGAAGGGATGGTGTAAATCCAGCTAGGTCCATGCAGGTAGCAAAAGTGCTGTAAGTCCCCATGGTCCCTTGTATGGTCATCTACCTTCAGTTGCTGTTCAGTCTATAGACCATTTTTATGTTGTAATGTCCTTTAAAGTATATAATGTTAAGTTGCATGCTAGTTTTATATCTCTAACTGTGATATTCTAGTTGTTTTACTGTCCTTTGGCGACAGATGTTTATAACATGACATTATAAATTTGTTAAGTATGATCTGTTGTTAGTCACAAACTGGCTGTAATATTGCCAAAGTGACTATAAATTTTAACTCACTCACTCACTCACTCACTGAGAGTTACAATCTACCCTGACGGTGGGAAGAGAAACAAGTGCATTACGACATACGGTCAAATCCATAGTCTTGGTTTCGTGAAGTTAATCTAGCTTCAAGTATAACACCTTCATTAATTATTTGGATCAGATTATGAAGGAAACTGTGTATTGACATTGATACAGGTCGAAAAACAGCTTGCAGTCTGTCACAAATCTGCTTGAATTTCTTCACTTTCTCTTTATCGTGTTCCCCCTGATGTGATAGTGGAATCAGTTTCTTTGGTTTCTCGAAACAGTGTTTTTCCCTGAAATAGGTCAGGATCCAAGACCTGGTCGATACTTAAATTGTCATCTTATCGAAGTTTCAATGCTAATGGTGCCAGTCACCGCAATGTCTTGTCAAGGATTTATTGACATGGCCCAGACACGTTGCTGCGTTACAAAAACAAACAACCACACAAATTCACAGTATTTTGAATTGCCTGCTTCACCCTTTAATACAACTACCATTATGTGTATTGCTGTTTACAAGGGTGAGAACCCGTGAGGAACCGGGTACGAATTGGTCTTCAGCCAATTCAGCCCGTCACTAACGGGATCGGGTGGTCAGACTCACTGACTTGGTTGACACATGTCATCGTATCCCAGTTACGTAGATCGATGCTCATGCCATTGAATACTGGATTGTCTGGTCCAGACTCGATTATTTTTTTTGCAGACCGCCGTCATACAGCTGGAATATTGCTGAATGCGGATTTAAACTAACAAAGAATCAAGTACAAGGGTTGAAAGTTCCGTGTATCTCGATACTCATATCCTCGGTCTGATATTATGCGACTTTACGTCATATGGTTATTGATCAATGTGTATTGTTTGTAACAGCTGATGGCGGCTACAGTGCATGGAGTCCGTGGACCAACCCTCCTTGTAGTGTTACCTGTGGACCGCAGGCAGTGAAGCAGATCTCTAGAGAAAGATTCTGCAACAGCCCTGCCCCGTCCGATGGTGGCGCTCCATGTGTCGGGAGTCCACAAGAGAACAACATGGTCAACTGTAATCTCAACGTATGCCCGAGTACGTGTCCCAAATTAAATATACAAGGAAGCATTTCACTGAACTATATTTCGGACGAATCATTCTGAATCAGGATATCCTTAACGAATATAATCTGGTATATGATTGGTAAAAATTTGATCAAATGGTATTCAATGATGGAATTCAAAGATCCACTTACAAACACCATCTTACACATATATCGGCGTTGAAACGTATAGGGGTGGTGTGATAGCCTAATGGTTAAAGCGTTCGCTCATCACGCCGAAGACCCAGGTCCGATTCCCTTACATGGGTACAATGTGTGAAGCCCATTTCTGGTGTCCCCTGCCGTGATATTGCTAAGAGCAGCGTAAAACAATACTCACTCACTCACTGAAAGTTATATCAAGCAGAATGTATTATTTATCCAATGTATGTTGGATGTACACTGCATAAGCTGATTTGTAAACATGCACATGGTGCAAGCATAAAACAGCCTGTTACAAAACATACAGGTGAAAACAATTTTAGTTTGTTTCACAATGCTTTATTGCACATATATTTCAGTTGACGGGGGCATAACACAATGGGCCCAGTGGAACGTGGAGCCATGTCCAGTTACTTGTGGATTGGGAATAACCACACGTGCATCAAGAACACGAACCTGCACCAACCCCGTCCCGGCTAATGGCGGGGCCGATTGTAGAGAAACTCGCGTGGAGACAGAAGCAAGAAATTGCCTTATTCCAAGATGTCCAAGTGAGTTGTTATTTACGCTTGTGTGAACTCTCGGGTAGACGTACATGTGTATAACATTGTTGAATTTTTTAGTTGGTTTTCTTCAGCTACAGTCATTCTCCTATCTTTTTCAGTTGATGGCGGTTTCAGCCAGTGGACGCCATGGGATAACCCGTCTTGCCTTGTAACTTGTGGTGTCTCTGCCACAAGGACTTTAAGGAGAACAAGGCAGTGCAACAGCCCCTTCCCACAGTTCAATGGAAGAAACTGTACCGGAGACTTCGTGTCTCTGGAGATTAGAAGCTGTAATTTTACTGCTTGTCCGAGTAAGTTACCGATCTTAATCACACCTGGTATTGTCAGAAGATTAGAGAGGCATGAGGTGCGGGCAGATTTGCCAGTCTGATTACTGTTGTCCAAAAATAGTGTTTTGACTGTTAACCGAAATCTTCCGATACATATCAAACAAGTAGTAATCACCCAAAGGCAGAAAGATAGCTTCTTTGGTTCACACGTTACAAGCGTTTTACGTCTTATGGTATGCAACGTGCAATTAATACAAATGGTACTCACAAGATACATAACATTTATGAATCGTGTCTCTGCTTGTCTATTGATAACATACCTTTTGATATGCTATCATTTAATTTTGTTTAAAGTGGTGTCTCCACACTAACCACGGCGGGCGGCGTGGTAGCCTAGTGGTAAAGCGTTCGCTCGTCCGGCCTAAGGCCTCGGTTCGATTCCCCACATGGGTACAATGTGTGAAGCCCATTTCTGGTGTTCTCCGCCGTTATATTGCCGGAATATTGCTGAAAGCGGCGTAAAACCATACTCACCCACTCACTTACTCATTAATCACGGTCTATGTGTTTATATTTTAGTCGATGGCGGATACACTCAATGGGAACCGTGGTCAATTGGTGCATGCAGTGCAACATGCGGACCCTCAGCCAACAGAAGATTTTCCAGAAGACGATTTTGCACCCAACCTCCGCCTCAGTTTGGTGGTGCCCCTTGCTCAGGCGAATCCTCAACATCGGAGCTCAGGAGCTGCAATCTGCCCAACTGCCCAGGTAACTAGCAAATTGCACATTCTAGCCAAAACATTTTACAAACTATCCATGGTTACTAAGCTGCTTGTTAACCCTGAAGATCCGGGCTGGATCTTCAGTAATCCATGCTTGACGTAAAAGGCGACTAACGGGATCGGGTGGTCAGACTGGCTGACTTGGTTGACACATGTCATCGTATCCCAGTTGTGTAGATCGATGATCATACTGCTGATCACTGGATTGTCTGGTACTCAGTTATTTACAGACCGCCGCCACACAGCTGTAATATTGCTGAGTGCGGCGTAAAACCAACCAACAAACCACCCAACCAACCATCTAAGCTGCCTTTAAATTGCTATTGATACAGGTTACTACAATGGGTTTTTTTATGTAAATAGGTGATGGAGTTTACCTCCAATGGTCTCAATGGGCTGATGCACCCTGCGGCCCAACATGCGGCATCGCCTTGACAACGAACAGCACCAGAAGGAGAACTTGCATTCAGCCCACGAACGGCGGAAGACCTTGTGAAGGGCCAGCCGACCAGACCTTGATTAGAAGTTGTAACCTTCCCAACTGTCCAAGTAAGAACTATAGTAATACACAGGTCATCACTTACAAGTCTTAACCGCAATCAGAGGAAGTTGTACATAAAATAAGACCAGCCACCGAGGAAATTGTGCATAAGATACGACTAACTGCAGAGGAAGTTGTACATAAAATACGACTAACTGCAGAGGAAGGTGTACATAAAATACGACTAACTGCAGAGGAAGGTGTACATAAAATACGACTAACTGCAGAGAAAGTTGTACATAAAATACGACTAACCGCAGAGGAAGATGTACATAAGATACGACTAACCTTAGAGGAAGCTGTACATAAGACACGACTAACTGCAGTGGAAGTTGTACTCCTTGATGGTTCTATTTGCTGTTGTATCATCAGCAAAAGTGTTTCTTCAGTGAGTTTCTCTATGGTTGTACTTACTTCCTACACTCATCAGGATCCCGATCCACAAAGCGTTCGTAGCGCTACATTGGCAAGCCTATGATAAACTATAGAATTACGACAGCTCGTACCGTAACGAATGCTTTGTGGTTCGGGCCCAGGGCTGATCCCCACGTTTACTATAAATATATCCCTCAATTCATTTTCATATTTTGATTTCAGTCAATGGTGGTTACTCGCCGTGGTCACAGTGGTCCTCACCTAACTGCCCTGACCAGTGTGGAAGTAGCACGTCAGTAACAATATCAAGAACTCGAGAGTGCAACAACCCAACTCCTCAATTTGGCGGACAAGGTTGTATCGGGACCACTTTTCAACCTCAAACATTTATCTGTGTTCATCCTCCATGCCCAGGTAAGTAGCAATGTCATTCACAGAAAAGGGACAGTGGGGTAGTGGTTAAAGCGTTCGCTAGTCACGCCGAAGGCTCGGGTTCGATTCCCCACATGGGTACAATGTGTGAAGCCCTTTTCTGGTGTCCCCGTGATGTTGCTGGAATATTGCTAAGAGCGGTGTAAAACCATATTCACCCACTCACAAAAATGATGTACCACTACTACTCCAATGACTACTAATACTACCACCACCACTACCACTACTACTACTACTACTACCACTACCACTACTACTACTACTACTACTACTACTACTACTACTACTACTACCACTACTACTACTACTACTACTACTACCACTACTACTACTACTACCACCACTACACTACTACCACTACTTCTACTACTACCACCACTACTACTACTATGGTCTGATGATAGTACTAGTAGTAGTAGTAGTAGTAGTAGTAGTAGTAATAGTAGTAGTAGTAGTCTGCTGAAGACTTTCCTCGATATAATAAATCAGAAACAGAAGTCGGTGTAGTTGAAGAATTATTTTTTTAGTGGTTAAAGAAGCAGATTTAGATTAAGATTGATGCTTACAACTTGTGGCAATATTCCAATACTGTCGTCTTGGATACCAAGAATGAACTTCATAGATTGTAACCAGGTATGGATTAGAAAACGGATGCCCTTTATCAGTCATACCACTAACTCTTCACGTATGACAGACATACTGTTTAGGATATATATTAACATTTAGAATCTTATTGTTTCAGTCAATGGAGGATATACCCCATGGACTCAATGGATAAGAACACCCTGCGGTCGCACCTGTGGGGAAGATGTGTTTCAGGAAAGCTCAAGATTCAGGAATTGTACCAACCCAGCTCCATCTAATGGAGGGTTAGACTGTGTCGGATCTCCATCTCAGTTTAACAGAACGGCTTGTAATGTTCCTAGATGTCCAAGTGAGTAAAACTTACACCAGTTTGTATAACATGTTGATTGATTGATTGATTGATTGATTGATTGATTGATTGATGCCACACTCAGCAATATTACAGCTATATGGTGGCGGTCTGTAAATAACCGAGTCTGGACCAGACAATCCAGTGAGCATCGACCTACACAAGTGGGATATGATAACATGTGTCAACCAAGACAGGAAACCTGACCACCCGATCCCGTTAGTCGCCTCTTACGACAAGAGTGGGTTGCTGAAGACCAATTCTAACCCGGATCCCTACGGGTATATATAAATTGAACATAGTATTATTATGTTCATAACATTTAACCAACATAAAGCATTTTGCTTGTTTTGCTTACTTTTACTTACTTTATGTAAATATGATATTGACACATATCTTGAACGTGCATGCCCTTTCTTGAAGTGTACAATGGAACTAATTCAAAACATGAATGTTTAAGTGTACTATCCCATAAAAATTGTTGATTATTTTAAAGATTCATTTTCATAACATATTGATCATTTTCATACAGTTGATGGTGGAATATCTCCATGGAGTCAGTGGATTAATGACCCATGTCCGGTAACATGCGGTCCTGGGCTCCTGACGGCAAACAGGTACAGAACATGCACACAACCGTCACCTCGCTATCTGGGCCGTAACTGTACTGAAACCAGGCAAGAGTCTATCAACAGACCATGCACAGGACCTGTCTGTCCAGGTAAAGTACCGCTGACTCCCACACATACACAGTTGGTTGGTTTGTTGTTTTACGCCGCACTCAGCAATATTCCAGCTATATGGTGGCGGTCTGTAAATAATGGAGTTTGGACCAGACCGTCATGTCAACACCATGAGCATCGGTCAACGCAATTGGAATACGATGACATGTGTCAACCAAATCAGCAATCCTAACCACCGATCCCGTTAGTCGCCTGTTACGACAAGCATGGGTTGCTGAAGATCAATTCTAACCCGGATCTTCACTGGTATCACACACAAAGTGAAACGCGGTTGATTCGGACGGCAGCCTTGACCCAAGACTTCATTAAAAAACTCAACATACATGGACAGGAAAATATTAATGTCTTTTGCTTAAATATTACCAGAACTGAGCTACTACAAAAAGCCCTTGACACTTTAGACCAAAGAGACAGTGATCTGTGGCTCCACGATTTGTTCAATGATCATAACAAACCCAATGTCAACAAACTCAGAACATATAGACTGTATAAACAAGAAATATGTGTCTGTCACTACACAAGAATAAATATAACTAGACAGCAAAGAAGCCTGCTTGCTTCTTTTCGTAGTGGAAGCCTGCCCCTCAATATTGAGAAAGGACGGTATACCAAGCCTGTGACCCCCCTTCAAAATAGACTGTGTTCACTGTGTGACGGCCACGCAGTAGAAGATGAGGTGCACTTCATGATGGAGTGTAGCTTCTACTCCGACATCAGAATGAGACCTTTCATAAATGTAACCAACTAAACTCAAGCTTTATGGACCTCCAATTATATGATAAGTTTTGCTGGTTGTTGTCAAATGATGATATCCAATAGGAACTAGCCAAAAGTTTGCAAAGTATGTTCCACAAAAAATCCTTTCAAGAAAACTGTAAATAATTTTAACGCATTAAATTTAACTTACTAGTTTTTCTATGTACTATCTCTACATGTATGTGATGTGATGTGATGTGTGTGTATGTATGTATGTATGTATGTGTGTATGTATGTGTGTGTGTGTGTGTGTGTGTGTGTGTGTGTGTGTGTGTATTGTTTATATGTATGTATGTATGAAGATGAAGTTATAGTGTGTACATATAGCCGAAAAAGACTATAAGTTAATCCCCTATTGTTTAAGGATTATCGCGCATCAGTGAATTTTTATCTAGAACAAAATCGTCCGGCAAAACGGGACACCACCACCCCACCACCCCTAACCCTGTATCAACAATGGATAATAGGGAAACATCAGTGATCAAATGAAAGGGATATTTTACACCTGTGAAGAGATTACTATCATCTTGTAATGTGATGTTATTATCATAGCTGTCACAGCAAAAAAATCAAATGCTCAGAATAAGAAACTTTGATGTTAGTATGACATTCGTCATTTAATTCGTGTGATTTTCTGTTGCTACAGTCGCCGGAAGATTTACAGAATGGACTGAATGGACTGGGACCTGCACAGTAACCTGTGGCCCTGCGTCACTGACGAAGGCGGAAAGTAGGACCAGAACATGCATAGAACCGACTAATGGAGGAGCATCATGCGTCGGGCAGCGCGTTGAATCCCGTAGTCAGGCCTGCAATTTACCAAGATGTCCAGGTACGGGACTAAATAAACACAAACATTAAATACCTGTTTAGTGAAAACTGTTTGGCTATTGTGATACAAGGGTTGCATCCTGTTGGTCATAGATCGTAATGTTTTATATGATGTATAAGATTTCTCCAAACATTCTGGACAGGAGATTTCAGTACAACTTGTTTCTATTCTACCTTCAATTTCATTAAGTTCTTCGTCAAACAAGTTCTAGTTTGTACTTCATCACTTGCTTGATAATGGTGTTAACCTACACCGAAATGTCGCACTCATAAAATAAAGAAGTTGACTATCCACAGAACTTTGGAACTAGTTTGCCTGACCCATAGTTCACTCCATGGACCGAACAAGTGAATATTGGAAATAGTTGGTAGCATTATTTATAAATACTGCTTACGATATCAGTGAATGGACAACCCGGCCCGTGGACGGAATGGACCGTGCCGCAATGCACAGCTACCTGTGGGGTCAGTGCAACAAGAACACAGACAAGGACCAGACAATGCAACAATCCCTCGGCCGCATTTGGCGGAAGTTCCTGCACTGAGAATCTTTTTGCCTCAAGAGTTACAAACTGCAGACTCTCACCTTGCCCAAGTAAGTTCCCACTTGACCTAATTATCCCACTCACTCGTTGCAATAACCTATTTTTGTATTGCTGAAGCCGCCTCCGTGGTGAAGTGGTTAGAGCGTCCGCCCGGAGAGCGGAAGGTCGCGGGTTCGATCCCCGGCCGCGTCATACCAAAAGACGTGAAAATATGGTACTTGTTGGTCCCTACCTGGCGCTCGGCATTAATGGGTACAACAAGGACTGGTCGGCTCGGAGTCAGTATGTGTCTGAGTGGGGTATTCATGCTTTACTGAGGCATGGTATCTCAGTGAGCTAGTACTATATAACCAGCACAAGTCTGGGCTAGAACAAGCAGCCACACATACACACGCATGCACGTCGTCATGTGAGCGAAATATTCTGAAGTACGACGTTAAACCCCATTTTACCTGACCTCACCTCACCTGTATCGCTGAAATGCCGATCGCACCTGTGCAAGCCACTCTTTGGTGAGTGTATGACAAATCTCAGTGTTATGTAATGGTGAAACTGATATTGATAGCCGTCGTATGTTTTAGTCAATGGCGGCTTTACTCAGTGGACGCAGTGGTCAGAGCCCGAATGTCCAGGAACCTGCGGAACTTCCTTCAAAACCCTGACCAGAAGAAGAACCTGTACAAATCCACCTCCACAGTTCAATGGCGCAGCCTGTAATGGACCAACGTCAGACACTGAGACGCGGCCCTGCAACAATACAAATTGTCCAGGTATGTCATACATGTGTACAGCGATACTTTTATCAGGTAATGATAATTCATGTTACACTTCCCTGTGCCCTGTGTCACACGTGTAAAGTCACCTTGGGACTGGCATGTAGAGTCAACACGCCTTGACAACACGCCACTTACATAGCGCCATTCCAGGATGAATATCTTGCTCAAAGCGCTAAACGTTTCCTTTGTACTTTTCCTTTGCCAAAGCCCATCTCGCTTAAACGTGTACATTCGTTTTGACGTGCATATGATAATTTGCCTTTCCTTTGTCAGACATGTAACTATACCATAGTTACACGTGTAAAGTCGACCTAGATATATAAACATCATCCTGGCCTTACATGTAAGATCATGCTGGTTACATTCGTAGAGTCACATTGGGTACGCATGTAAATACACCTTGGTTACACATGTAAATACAGCCTGGCTATACATGTAAAGTCTCACCTTGTTTGTCTATCAAGTAACCCAGGTTGCACGTTCATCACCACCCTGGTTACACATGTAAATAGAACCTTGTTACACATGTAAAGTCACCTTGGTTACACATATAAATTCAGCCCCTGGCTAAACATGTAAAGTCGCCTTGGTTTCCTGTCAAGTAACCCAGGTTGCACGTGCATCATCACCTTGGTTACACATGCAATGACATAACTGTGATTGCTGGTTTCACAAGAGCGTTAAGCGTCTGAGACCTACTCCAGTTCGCACCAGCATGCGTATGCTAGTCATATATCACATCTCAAATTTGGATTTGGCTTCACAAACATTTCTATCCTGACTGTGAACACATGCTTTCTTCTAGTGGATGGAGGGATATCTCTTTGGACTCAATGGACCAATTCTCCGTGCCTTGCTACGTGTGGACAGGCATCAAAGGTGGACATAAGAACAAGAGACTGCATAAATCCGGCTCCACAGTTTGGTGGACGAGATTGTCCTGAAACAAGGTTCGAGGACAGATCCGTCATCTGCATTAATACTCTTTGCCCAAGTAAGTAGAGTGTTCCAGATAGCTGACAGTTCACATGACACCTTCAATAACATGATATTCCCATTTTAGCATATTATAAATATGATAATGCATATTGATATTTTATAAATGTATGGTAATAAAATATCAAGTTGACAATTTAGCTCATTTTGAGTAATATTTAAGTAGAACTAGCTTTGCCACAGAGATGTGAGATGAATTACCCACATAACAAATTTCTATATTAGTTTCGCATTGAAGTGAATGCAGGGAGCTGAGAACCGTAATTAGAGTTTAAGCCTTCCCAGTGACATCAAGGATATTGTATTAATGATGTACTCCATAGATGTGCAAACCAGGTATTATACACAAAACTATTTCAATTATCTTGTCCTGGTTTACAGTCAATGGGGGTTTTTCGAACTGGGGTCCTTGGTCTCCATCTGCATGCTCCGTCTCGTGTGGCGGAGGCTCACTATCACGCACTCGACAGAGATTCTGCAACAACCCCTCGCCTGCTGGTGGCGGAGCACCCTGTGTTGGACCTACGCAAGAATCAGGAACCGTTGCATGTGGAACCGACCCTTGTCCGAGTGAGTAATGACAAAACATCATGCTTTCAGAAAGTTTTCTATCATCATCCAAATACAAGTGACTTAAAGTCTCGATTTCTCGAAACAAACTTTAATTTTTACTCAAATTTAAACTGAGTTTGACAATTTGAAACTGCTGATTTTTTTAACACAGCTGCATTTTTAAAATGAAAAAGTCCAAACAGTTTAAGTAATCTATTCACCAAACTCAAATCGTCTACTATGTTTGAGTGTAATATTGATTTCAGTTCATTCTGGGAAATGCATTTTCTCAAATTTGAGTAAAAACTAACTTAAGTCAAAATTCAGACTTAAGTTTGTTTCGAGAAATCGGGGCCAGATGGTTGTTTGATACATTTCCTTTTAGAACAAAATCGAATATGACTGTAAAACATCCAGCTTTAGAATTGTTTTCATAAAATTGTCCCAAAATTGTTGTTCTTTCTCGAATATTGATTGTTTGTGGTTTACTGACTATGACTGTCAAGAACTTTTAAAGTGATTAATCTAAGATTAGGAACTGCCTATACATTGTAGTCATACTAATGTTAAAATGCTTTCAGGGGACGGAAATGTCACTCCTTGGACAACTTGGTCAACGCCCAATTGTATTGGCACTTGTGGATTAAACACAACAAGGACTCTTCAAAGGACCCGGACTTGTACAAATCCTCCCCCTAGTGTTAATGGAAGATTCTGCGTCGCTCCACTGTTGGAGACAACGGTATTCAACTGTATTGTACCCAGTTGCCCTAGTGAGTTCTCCTGGTGTTAATAGTTGTAGAAGTTATAATATCTTTGTTAATAAAGCAACAACTGATAATCATGTACAATTTCCTACTTTCTCGACATGGATGATACAGGTGTTAATGAAATTGTCTGAAATTGACCATTGCTTGTGCTGTACAGTTGATGGAGGTGTCACGCCTTGGACGGAGTGGGCAGGTCCTGCTTGTAACTGTTTTGTTGGGAGCACCAGAAGTTTGTCAAGGACCAGGACCTGTACAAACCCAGTACCGAGTAATGGTGGACGACTTTGCTCTGAATCGATGATCGACACAGTGACAAGAAACTGCGATGTCACTAATTGCCCAGGTAAACTATCTCATTTATCCTACATAAATGCAAAATCAAAGCAGGAATACCTTTGGAACATCATGTCTGTTCAAATATATGAATTGTTTATCGTTCACTAAGTTCATTGCTCTATTGCCCGAGTGGTTGGTATCAGGCATTTTAAGGAATCTATTCATATATGTTTCATTATTGTTTTGCCTTTGCGTCCTCATGGGGACTAACTATTCTCTGGTATCACCATCTATTCACATAACCAAACGTGAAATAATGTTCAGAAAGAGTGAACCTGTGTTTATTCCACGATCAGTTGATGGAAATGTAACTCTCTGGGCTCAATGGGTCGACGAGCCATGTGCAGAGACTTGTGGACCTGCTGTCACCAGAGCAAGAACACGATCAAGATCCTGCACCAACCCTCCACCTGTCAATGGTGGTAACGGATGTTTAGATCCTCTCGTAGAAACTCAGAGGATAAGCTGTAGCCTTCCACAATGCCCAAGTATGTTATTTACGATCTGATATTGACGTTGTGTGAAGCTAAACTAACACGTTAAATAGACGTTAATGTCAATAAGACTGAAGCAATCATCTTCCGGTGCACCTGGGCATCAAGGAAATACTACCACCCTATTTAAAGTAGAAGAACTAAATACTTGTATGTCGTTCTTTTGTCCTAATAATTAATTACCCTTCACAGAAAATATTTATCATTGTCTCAGGTTACCACTTATTAAACGAAAGTGGTTAAAGCGTTCGCTCATCACGCTGAAGACACGGGTTCGATTCCCCACATGGGTACAATGTGTGAAGCCCATTTCTGGTGTCCCCCGCCCTGATATTGCTGGAATTTTGCTAAGTGTGGCGTAAAACCATACTTACTCACTCACTTATTAAACTGTCGCTCGTGAGTGTGTTTTAAAGAATACATTTTAATGACTACCTTCTAAATCGATAAATGCATTGACTCAGAATGACAATGTGTTACAAGTGTGTCGTGTCATGTAACAGTTGATGGCGGAGTGACACTATGGACACAGTGGAACAACCCTGCTTGTTCAAGAACCTGCGGACCAGGACTAAGATCCAGGACACGAAGCAGAACATGCACCAACCCAACACCAGCATTTGGTGGAAAGTCTTGCTCACAACTGCTGACAGATGCCGACGTTGTCAACTGCATTGACCGAAACTGCCCAGGTATATATATGTATATATTCACTAGAGGGGGGAAAACCGGTTGAAATGTTAAAATAGTGTCGTGTGTCATACCTGTTTTCAGACATGTGTTATATATATTATGCACTTCCACTTCATAGTAATATCTACTCATCTTTGAACCATTAGAATGGCATTTATACATATACAATGTATATTACATTATCCGCTTCGTTTCATGCCCTTGGTAACAATGATATTTGGCTTTTTCATTCCGTGGCCAGTGTTTCAGATCACTTGCCAAATGCCCTCTGTGTTAAAAGTGTTTACTTACTAACCTTTACCACTTACTGCACAACAAAATTACTTTCCAGTCGATGGTGGTTTCACACCCTGGACCGACTGGACCAATCCCCCGTGTTCACCTACATGCGGCAATGCCACCAGGGTCCTCAACAGATTCAGGACGTGTACTAACCCTCGCCCAGCATTTGGGGGAGCCGCCTGTTCGGGATTACAAGTGGACACAACAACCGACATCTGCAACAACCCAGGATGTATAGGTGTGTAACGTCTCGTGTACACAATACTGCACAGACATTATGATATGATACTATCAGCACTATCACCAATGTCACTAATACTTTTATAACCATTTATCTGAAATTTCAAATGAAATATCCAATGTTGCTAATTCTTTTAAAAAAATTCGAAAGAGAGATTGAATGTTTTTCGTAAATGTGATGTTCTTGGAATAGAGAAATGTGCTGAACTATTCGTCTGTTGCTTCAGTCAATGGTGGCTATACGCCATGGTCAGAGTGGACCTTAACTTCCTGTCCTCTCACATGTGGAACTGCGTCTCAACGTCGGTATCGATTCAGGAGTTGCAACAATCCACCGAGAGCATTCGGGGGCCTAGACTGTTTCGGGAGCAGACTTGATACGAACGTCCTGGCTTGCAGTCTACCTGCGTGTCCAAGTGAGTTTCTGTTGCTTGTCTATCATTCAGTACTGTTGTAACGATACATCGAACTATCGATGGGTTGCAATTGTTTAGTCTCCGATAGCAATTAATCTATGGTAGAAACGAAAAACTATCTATAGTATGTGTGAGTATCGATAGTTTAGGAACTGACTTCCGTTGATAAATGCCCAGCGCGAAATACAGGATGTTTGGGTGCAGACTTGCAGCTTCATTGAGTTTATGTTTTAACTGTTTACTTGATCTGTGTTTCAAGTTTCTTGTCAGTTACTAAAAGAGACTGAAACTACATCAACCTATTTTTGGTTTCATATAAACAATACATTCATTTGGGAAATGATTTCAAATGAGACAATTCAAGGAAAAACATTGCAATAGTATTGCAATAGTTGGTCGCAATAGACTATCGCTATCTCAATTTTATGTCTCAGTAGACTATCACTATCGCAATAGTTATTTCCCCCTCAAAAGTCACCCCTGTCATTCAGTAAACAACTGTGTTTGTTGTATAACGAAGCACTAAGTCCAACTATGTGACAACAGATTTGAAAAACTTTCAAGATTTCGAGGCTGGAGAAGACAATCCAGTGATTGATATTGAGAACATCGAACCACGATGTCATACAACAAACTCACCTGACCGCCAGGTATCCTCTACCTAAACACATTACATGCTGGGTATCTATTCTAAGCTGGAATCCACCGAAGCAGTATCGATGCAACAAGCTCACTATAACTGACAGAGGAAAAGACATGAGAGGAAGCTGGATGAGAGGTGGAAAGAACCAAAGACATACAGACCAATTGGAAATATTATAGAGAAATGCAAAATATTTAAATAAATGAAATGGCTGTGTTTAACATATCTCAGAGCATGAGACGGAGAATGCCAGTATGACAGAAGAAAGTAAGGAGCGATATAAGATATAAGGCCGTGAGTAAGTTGAACGACACTTAATCGAAATGAGAGTGTGGAAGGTTATGGATGAGATACTGTCAACTTATTGTCCCTTGTATCCCAGATGTAGGGTGTGTATTGATTAATGGGTTTTTTTTCAGTCGATGGGGGATATACGCAGTGGACATTGTGGTCTAACCCTCCTTGTGGTCGCACGTGTGGTCGAGATGCTACAAAACTTGTGTCCAGAACCAGAACCTGCACAAACCCATCACCAGGCAGCAGTGGCAGACCGTGTGTAGGCCCTTCCTCTGGAACAGAATCAAGAAACTGCAATCTCGAGGACTGCCCTGGTACGTATTCATAGGAACTACGGCAGTACGGTAAAATGGTACATGTTCAAGATCACTGTAGATTCGTGCTTCCATACTCTGAAGCCAGATATTCATGTGTGTAAGATATGAATTTAACATTTCAAGTTTGGAAAAACATCAATACCTTATGATATGACCCTCCTTAAAAATAAACGATAAGAAATTAAGTTTATATAAGCTATGAACTTCAACATATTCAATTGGTTTCTCTTTGTATTGAATAGTTAATGGTGGCATCAGTCAGTGGAATCAGTGGGTTGAGGTTCCTTGTTCTGCGACATGTGGCCCAACACTCAACAGGCCAGTGTACAGGTTCCGGACGTGCTCTGCCCCCTTCCCGCAAAATAATGGTCTGGACTGTACGGAATCTCGGAATGAGACTTTGGTCAGAAGCTGCTTGCTTCCCGCCTGCCCAAGTAAGTCAAGCGTCTTTTTTGACAAGCCATTTCAATGGTCTTCAGTTCGAACATGTTCTATATTTTGTAGATTATGTTGTAATTCAGACGCCGAGTGTTTAGGAAAATGTAAACAGCAATGTTGTTGTTCATGATGGAACAGGAGGTCTGAGTGCACGGTGCTCAGTGATCTATGATCTGTGATCTATAATCTGTGATCTATGATCTGTCATCCATGATCTGTGATCTCATATAACTTTCATCTCTGTTTAACCTTACACTCTCAGAATCAGTTACGGTGCTTAACCACTTGTGATTCCCTGGACGTTTTCTGTTACATTTTGTTGATATCTATTAAACGCATCTAACAAATATGTACTGTTATAAGACACCGCTATCGATAGTGCATCAGTCTTCTGGATTATTTACGTAATGTTAGTTAAACTTAAACCATCGTTCTGGATGAGACACTATTAGTTAAGAAATGTCATTACGTAATTCATTTGTTCTCTAGTTAACGGTGGATGGACAGTATGGACCCAATGGGCTCAGCCCAACTGTCCTAGGACCTGTGGACGCAATGAAACCACTACTGCCTCACGAACAAGAACCTGCACAAACCCACGGCCATCCCTATCAGGTGCCACTTGTACAGGCAGCGGGGTTGAGCAAGAAACCAGGGACTGTAACCTGCCAGTTTGCCCAAGTAAGAAAGCATTGTTAACCTACAAGTATATTAATGTTACGACACCTGTCACCTACGTCTGGGGCGGTGAGGTAGCCTAGTGATCAAGCGTTTGCTCGTTATGATGAATGAGTACAATATGTGAAGCCCATTTCTAGTGTCCAAAGATATAGCTAAAACCAGCGTCAAACCTTCCACTATTTCTCTTGCTCCAATACACATATGACCTCAAGAAGTGTTAGTTTGCTGATATAATATTTATCAGGTGTATTTAAATATAATCGGCTCCATGACTACATATTGAGTAATAAAAATATATGTTTTGTGATTATCTCTATGGTTTAAGTTAAAATCTACACATATTATATTTACACTGAAGTTTTCCGTTGTAATTAATCGACAAACCAGTCTACTTTACATGCAATAAATGTTATGAAAAATACATTGATTCCCTTAAAATCAAATCTCTATCCGAGATTTCCGTTATCATAACCATAACATTTATGTTTAGGGCTTTAGTATGTCGAAAATAGGCTGTGAATGTACAATCAATATCACTCACTGTCCAACCCTAAAAGCTCCCAATATATCGCAATGCGTAGCGGAATACGGGTACTAGTATATATTGCAATACAATTTATTTGCCAATACACAGCCCTAGCAAAGATACTGGACAAAGGTCGGTTCGATTTAAAGAACAAAGCTGGAGGACAGGTGTGACATACATACTGTGACACAGGACTGCGATAAATGTAGATATACGACCGGTTGGTCTACCCAAGCGATAAACACCAGTAACCCCTCAGACCTAGTTATTTTTCTATGGGGGCGGTGGGGTAACGCTGTCACGCCGACGGCCCGTGTTCGATTCCCCGCATGGATTCAGTGTGTCAAACCTATTTCAACTCACTCATTCATTATATGATGCCAGCGAGACAATACAAGCACTATGCGGCACCACCCATTCAATGTGCAGATTGAGTAGTTGCAGACATCTACTGGCATCGTATTATTTCATTTAATTCGGTTAACGTTATAGTTTTAGAATGCAATGTTGTATGGAATAGATCATAAAGACAATTTATTCTGTCCAAATTTCTTATTCTAACGATCCAACAGATGCATATTTGTTGGATATAGCTATGTAGGTAGTTCTTTTCATGGGGAATTATTGCTGTGGAATCTTGTGATACAGCTTGTAAAACAGGATCAACCGGTTTCACCAGCTCTTCTCCCATTCATGCCTTTTAAGTATAGTATGACATGTTCCATGCGCCAACTGCCTAGGTGTGTGTAGGTGTTTTCTTTTATACGTATACAGAGTGGTTGCGTGGTTTCATAATAGCTGTTTACATAGCGATTCAGAAATTTAGATTCAATATCAGGCGACAGTGATTCATCAGTAAAATATTCATCGTTCCCAAATTGCACTTCTTCACAGTAGTCGTAAATTGACAATAACAACTGAACATTCTGGTTCATCGTTCACTTAATTGCCTGGTGCGTTCACAAGCCACTGGTTAGAGTACTGCTGTGTGGCGTCTAGTTTTTGGGCAAATACTGAGAATAGAGGGTGTTAGGGGTAGGAAGGTGATGCTTACACTCATCGCGAACACCTGGTGTCCTCAATGTTTTTCTGGGATCCATTCGTATAATTTTCAGAGCTGTTTTGACCTTTACACCAAATGGAAGCTGGGTGTTCTTGTGTAATGACGTTTTATATACTGGACAAATATAGTTAGGGATACATGTACATTTTGAAAATTATGAATAATGATCTATTTATTCATTGACATACTGATAAAATATCAATGATAAAAATACCAATATCCCTAACAAATTTTGTCAAGTATATTTAGGCACCTTCAAATCATGCATAGTTTTATGATTTCATTAGTTTTATGTTATCCATTATACACACAATACCTACCTAGATTTTGATGCATGTTAAAAGTATATTTGCGAATGAGCATATAGTCTCTCAATTCATCACTATTCACTATGCTATAGAAGTGAATATATACTGAGAGAAACAAATAAATGAACATAGGAAAATTCAAGTGTTCCTTTAATATTTTCCAGTTTTCCTCACCAGCTTTGAATAGCGCTGTAGGAGGAAATCTTAGAAAAATAATAACAAAGGAACACTGCCATGAAGTGGTGTTCCCTTATTTGTTTCCCTCAGTAGATATGTAGGTTCCGACAACTGTGTGTTGGCTATCCTGTCTTTGGACAATCACTTTGACATACATTCAGCTATTTAATAGGCCCAAGGCACATGATAATATAATTTCTTGTTTATGTTACTAGTTAACGGAGGAATTACCCAGTGGAGTCAATGGGACAGCCCGGCCTGTAGCGTCACATGTGGAACTTCAGCCGTGAAGTTTGTTACGAGACGAAGAACCTGTACAAGTCCATCTCCTCAGTTTGGAGGCGCTAACTGCACACAATCAAGAACTGAAACAATCCAACGACCTTGCATTATTCAACCGTGTCCAGGTGAGGCGAACAAGGACTAAGCTAAGCTTTGATCAGTTCTGCATCTCCGTTAATAATAATAATAATGTGTCCATTTATATAGCGCCAAACTCCACACTAGGTATGCTCATAGCGCTAACAATCAAAGCACAGCACATTATTACCCCGGATAACCCAAGCTGCCTGTTAGGCGCTAGAAGGTTATAGTTACATAACTTATCGCGACAGGTATCCATTTTCTGCTGCGTGCATTTGATTATTGATTAAACAGTTTGTAGGGTCACCATATGAAGCTATGCAGTGCGACAATAAGCCTTGAGTTTGAAATTATCTGTACATTTTTTTTTTCAGTTAATGGAGGTTTTACACAGTGGGGAACTTGGGTAGACAGTCCCTGTCGCGTCACGTGTGGTACTGCCTTTAGAAGTGGAACGCGACGAAGGACTTGCACCAGCCCAGCACCAACTCCTGGTGGATTGAACTGTGTTGGAGATGACGTAGAGACACGAACCCAGAGTTGCTTCCTTCCAGTGTGTAGGGGTAAGACGTGCCATTGTAGCTATCATGTGAGACTAGCTATAGTCCTGATTTAATATCTTCCCCTCTTTTCGTCCCGTGTCCTTCCTTGAGTGAGTGGGACAGTGGGGTAGTCCAGTGGTTTAATTGTTCACTCGTCACGCCGAAGACCCGGGTTGGATACCCTACATGGGTACAAAGTGTGAAGCCCATTTCTGCTGTCCCCTGCCGTGATATTGCTGGAATATTGTTAAAAGCAGCGAAAACCACACTCACTCACAATGTAGCTAATATATTTTTAGGTTCAGTTGTATTTCATCAAACTTAAAGTATTACTTTGTGGGTTGTGCCATTGTGGATTTGAAATATCTGATAAAACCAAGGGTCCAACCCTCAACCTTGCCGTTTCCACCTTATACCCCAAGAACAGCATGTGTGATGTTTTACTGTGATCCACAGTTGATGGCGGCATATCTCTCTGGGGCCCATGGGAAGAACCTCAATGCTCCGCCACGTGCGGTCCTGGAAACAGAATCAGAATTCGAAACAGATTCTGCAACAGCCCTGCTCCTCAGAATGGAGGCAACAACTGCACCGAGTCAAGAACACAATCCGAGTTTCAGACGTGCACTGGTAACAGTTGCCCAGGTATGTGCAAGCGAAACACCTAACTATTGTATAATTATCAATTCATGTTAAAACGACTTTTACTTACGTGTACATATGACACATAGACATATTTATAACAAAATGGCCGTATAAATTCTGCTTAAAATTCTGTAGTAATTCCATATATGATAATATGTTGCATTTGCTCGTAGTGCATACCTACGGATCTTCATCAACCGCTGTGGTTGTATTCTGTTATTGGTTTGTGCAACGTGCGTCTGAGAAAACATATAGTCATTATATGTTACAAAGGTCATCTATGAGCTGACGGTGAAATGATGTAAAGTCCGTTATGATACATTTGACTGATCCCCAGAATAGTTTGCAGATATCTGCAATAAATATAGAAATCAATAAACCGCCAGAATGCCACCTCGACACTGGCGTGTAACTGGTATCAAAAGCATATGATTCTGTAACATTAAGCGATGCAACAATAGGAAAAAGATGCTGATGCACTATGTAAGACGAGTTGCATATAAACTTCAAATTTTTATAACTTCACGTTTTTGTATATTTTGGAACATTTAGTTCTGAAGCACAAAGTGATGGGTCAATCAAATACGTCACAATGGAGAGTTATATGTGACAGGCATGATCAATAGTCCGTTAGTCCGAAACAAGTGAATACGGAGAGGGGCCAGATGTTTTTTCCACAGATCTGGTAAGGTGATGTAGGTTACCAGTCAGACAAGTTAGAAAAGATCCATCATGTCCATCCCGGTCAACAATAACTATTTAATATTCATAATTTCATTTAGGGCATGTGATATGTTTCAAATGTAATGTTCATATGCTTTAAGTTGACGGTGGCTTTACCCAATGGACTGCATGGACTATACCCGCCTGCTCTATCACATGTGGTGACGCTACGAAGCTTATCATACGAAGAAGGACTTGTACAGTCCCAGTACCAAGCAATAACGGTCGGGACTGTCAAGGGGACCGTTTAGAATACAATACAACAAGCTGCAACAACAACCCATGTCCAAGTAAGATATTATTTCTTTTTGTGTATTCCTTTATTGATGATGATACATGTTACTTCCTATCCATTTTGGTACTATTTACCTTTTAGTTGTTCGTTTATAGTAGCTTATATTCTGGTTTTTTTATACAGTAAACGGTGGATATAACGAGTGGTCGCCTTGGAGTACTCCGTCCTGTCCGAGAACCTGTGGAACCAACGTTACACGCACGTTCCTCCGGACAAGACAGTGCAATAACCCAACACCAGCATTTGGAGGGTTAAACTGCCTCGCTGAAAGCTTACAAACCGACGTTCGAGTCTGTTCGCTCCCATTGTGCCCAAGTATGAAACTAAAGAATCATATTTGCAATTGTTACCGTTCAAATCAATCTGTGTAACAAGACAAAAGAGAAATTAATAACTTTACAAGAGTACTAGTAACTCATATATTTGCAAACGTAAGTAAATGTATACAATATATTGTATTTAAATATTATATTTTATTCTAAAAAGCCCTCAAAGACAGACACACTTGTATTAATGAAATCAGTCCTGTTTTTCGTGTCAAGGTGGGTCTTATACAAGTATATTTGCAAACATAAGTTAGATCTATGCATGATACAATTTGTATTTAAATATTATTTTAATATATATATATATATATATATATATAAATCCTCAAAGAACGACACGCATGCTTAAATGAAATCAATCCGTTTTTCGTGTCATGGGTTTTTTTCATCTTTTTTCATTTTATTTTTCAGTCAACGGGGGTATTTCGGAATGGACGCAGTGGACAAACCCTCCTTGCACACTAACATGTGGCATTGGAGAGACCAAGAATGTCAACAGAGAACGAACCTGCACTAATCCTGTACCGCGTTTTAATGGTCTTGAGTGTACAGAGACAGATAGGTTTCAGGCTTTAGTGAGGAGTTGTGGCCTTCCACCGTGTCCACGTGAGTAACAATCGTTAGCTTAATCGTACACGAACAGGTTAACTATCTCAGCATATCATATCAATTACGAGAAGTTTCATACCACGCAGAAGATTTATTGTAACTTGTTTTTGTAGTTGATGGTGGCTTTTCTCCCTGGTCGGCGTGGGACAATCCTCCCTGTGGCGCTACCTGTGGTCCAACAGCTATCAGAACTTTGGCCCGTTCACGAACATGTACCAATCCATCTCCTCAACGTGGTGGTGCCAACTGCACTGGTCTGTACAGAGACACAGAGGTCAGATCCTGCGGTCTTCAAAACTGCCCAAGTAAGTTTAGTTTTATACACATGCCTCTCCCTTTAGTATTGAAATAGTCAGTATAAGTGAAATATTGTATTGTAAGCACTATTTAAAACTTATATTCTGTCGGGTTCAATGGTTCTTTAGGGAGTTTACGGTGGTCGTCAGATATGTCATTGTGACATTAGATAATGATTATCTGTGAAATGTATTACCTTATAAGAAATCACATAAAAAGACTTGCATTACTTGTTTGTTTCGCTGATCAGTCAATGGAGGCCTGACTCTGTGGTCGCAGTGGACAAATCCTGAGTGTTCAAGAACCTGTGGACCGGGAACAAGAAGTCTTTCTAGGGAGAGGACATGCACTAATCCAGTACCTAGGTTCGGTGGTCGTAACTGCACTGGGCCTTTTATCAGCGTTCAGGCAAATGTCCCATGTTTCCTAAGCGCTTGTCCAGGTAGGAATCATACTGGATTGTCTTCTTAGTGAGTGAGTTTAGTTTTACGCCGCACTCAGCAATATTCCAGCTGTACGGCGGTTGTCTGTAAATAATCGAGTTTCGACCAGACAATCCACTGATCAACAGCATGAACATCGATCTACGCAACAGGGATATGATGACATGTGTCAACCAAGTCAACGAGCCTAACCACCCGATCCCGTTAGTCGCTGGAATATTGCTGAGTGCAGCGTTAAACTCAACTCAACTCACTCACTCACTCACTCCAATATTAACCTTCCTGGCGGAATTAAAATGGGTGTAGTAGTTGTTTGTGAGTTATTGCAGTCGGTGACGGGAGCTTTGGCTATGTGGGAAACCCTAATATGTGGAGAGTTTGAGAGGTTCAGCAAACATTTTAGAAACTAAGTTTTGCATATAAATATTCAGAGCTGTGCAATTTACACGAACAGTACCTTATATCTTTAAGAATGATTAAAATGTATGATTTTACAGTGACTCTTAAGCGCACGCCAATAGGGTGCATAACACTGAAGGTCCCCAGGATTTTCAAATACAATTATAGTCATAGGTGAAAGAAATTCTGGATTTTAGTGATTACACGACCTAGAATGCAAAAATATGATAATTTCGTCCTTAATGATCAATATCAGACAACTTAAACACAGTATTATCACTCACAGCTCAAAATAATATCGCTGTCTGGGTAGATGCAAACAAAATGTTTATAAAATATTTTGGCCAATTTTAAACATTCCGTTTCATTTCTATGTGACAATGAGACATAAACGCATGCTCTTAAAAGATGGAACGGGCACAATGGATTCTTCTTCAGCTAATTAAGACTTCTAATGAAGATGGCATGATTTTGTCCTCTTATTGGTGTAGCCTCACAGCTTTGAACAGTTCTTTAGGATTCATTCAGAACATGATCTCAAATGGTTGTTGTATGATTCAGTGAATGGTGGCGTAACCCAGTGGGGGCAATGGAGTGTTCCTCAGTGCACTGTGAGCTGTGGATCTGGCGCCACAGCTCCTGTCGTCAGAATACGAAACTGTACCAACCCTCGACAGTCAAATGGAGGATTATTTTGTACTCAGCCTTTACAAGAGGATTCCACACGGAACTGTGGTTTAGCACCGTGTCCAAGTAAGCATATCCGTGTTCATGTTACTGAGATTGCTTAAATGTCATTTCAGTTTTAAATGATATATTTACAGAATGTAACTGATTGCCTTACTAAACGTACATTTTTAACGTTTATCAGCGCTTATAATACAACAAATGTGAATAGTGGTAATTGTATCTTTCTTATTCAGCTGATGGCGGATACTCTAACTGGTCTCCATGGAACAATCCATCATGCTCTGCCACTTGTGGATCAGGCATCACCAGGACGTTTGTCCGAAATAGGGTCTGCAACAATCCTTTCCCAAGTAACGGTGGGGCAAACTGCACTGGCCCTTCAGTTGAGTTTGACACAAGAAGCTGCAACCTCAGTCCATGCCCCAGTAAGTCATCATAATTCCTATGCCGTTGACTTGTTGCTACGGCGCACTTCCAGCTATATGGCGGTGTTCTGTAAATAATCAAATCTGGACCAGACAATCCAGTGATCAACAGCATGAGCAATTGGGATACGATGAAATGTGTCAACCAAGTCAGCGAGCCTGACCATCCCATCCCGTTAGTCGCCTCTTACGACAAGCATGGGTTACTGAAGAACAATTCTAGCACGGATCTTCACAGGTCATTGATATTGCTAACCCATGAAGATCCTGGTGAGAATTGGTCTTTAGTGCCCGATGTTTGTTGTAAATATCGACTAACGATATCGGATGGTGTTTGATGACTCTGGTGATATATGCCATCCTATCCCAGAAGTTTAGATCCATACTCATTGTGTCCATACTGGATTGTATGTCAAGACTCAATCAGGGCTCCAGATAAGGGCCGTATCGGCGTATGTACGGATAAAATATATGCACGCTACAGTAGGAAATAATTTAGAAAACGTAGCAGATACGCACCACAGCAATGGTGTACGGATTTTGTTTGTTTTATTGTTTTTCCTACCTGTTTACACAAGAGTAGCAATGTTGTGGTGCATATATGAAATGAAACAGAAGCTTACTGGTACTCCATTAAATTCCATTCTGTAATCGAAATGTACTCTTTAAGTTTTTCCAGTACTCCTATATTGAAAAAATAAGGAGTACGTACTCCTGATGTTGAAAATATTTTGGAGCCCTGCTCAATATCTTAAGACTGTCTTTGTATTAGAAAAGCTCAAGCATTGCTGTGCCCGGTGTAAAACAACAACAAACAAATTATTCATGCATATGTCGAACACATGGCTCAAAATTATTAGAGCTTGTGCAAGAAATGTACATTAATTACCCTTAAAAGGTTTTGTTTTGTACGAAAATATTTCACACAAAATGTATTTGTTTAAAGGTGTGCTGCTATTAATGAGTGACCGTCACATTATATCCGTATAATTAAGATGAGCCGAGAAATGTTAACTAAATCATATAACATTGTGTGTTTGTTCTCTTACTTACAGTAAACGGTGGGTTCACACAATGGTCGCAATGGACCAACCCGGACTGTCCAGTCACTTGTGGAACAACTGCAGTCAAAAGGCCAATAAGAACAAGATCTTGTACTGCGCCTGTTCCACAGTTTGGAGGCAGAGAATGCGTAGGATCTACCTTTGGAACAATTGAGAGGCCCTGCAACCTTCCTCCATGCCCAAGTAAAATTCTTTGAATATTCATCCTTTTATACTCTGTTGCTACTTTTATTCGAAATGTATTGTCATCCTTGGGCATTTTCACCTCTTTTTTCATTGATAACACAAGAAACAACGTTTTTCATTTTACGAAAACAATTTTCTGTGTGTGTTGCTTTTTGTACAAATTGCAGGTCTCTTTACATATTACAGAAACCGTTTTAGGAGAAAATCGCGTTTGAGAGGCTGGTGAGGTTTTGCCAAACCAGTGGTATCACACTAAACCACTCTCCCAGATATGTCCGTATTGTGTAAAAAAGGCTCTCACTGTCATTCACAAGGGTTTCACCCTCAAAATATTGTTTCTTACATTAGTGTGGGTTGTGTAATAAGAAATAATTCATGTCTGCACGCCCATGTAACTCTTTCATCTTTCGAGTCCATTTGAGTGGAATGACATGTCCCGCTGATTTATCACGTTTCGTTCAGCTAAAGCATACCAGTTTTACAAAGACCAAAGTAACCGAAAATTCTTGCGTGAAAGTTACATAGATTTGCAATAAGACCCAGTACTGCAATAGAACCCATACCACTGAAGTATTTTCCCTTTAGATTTGTCATGTTTATGCTTGGGCATGGCGAGCATTCACATAATGAGAGTATTAAATGCGAAAATACTCATCTAATAATGTTATGTTTTCGTTTCAGTTAACGGTGGATATAGCCAATGGACTCCGTGGTCAGATCCACCTTGTGCACTCACTTGTGGGGTAACAGCCACCAAAACGGTCACCAGAAATCGGCAGTGTAATAACCCATCGCCTGCATTTGGGAGGAGCGTCCTGTGTCGGGCCACAGGGCGACACGAAAAATACAAACTGCAGACTGTCAAGTTGCCCAAGTATGCACTGGCCCCGATTTCTCGAAACAAACTTAAGTCTGAGTTTTGACTTAAGTTCAAATTTTTACTCAAATTTGAGAAAATGCATTTCCCAGAATGAACTGAAATCGATATTAAACTCAAACATAGTAGACAACTTGAGTTTGGTGAATAGAAGACTTAAGTATTTGGGGATTTTTTATTAAAAAAATGCAGCTGGGTTCAAAATTCAGCTGTTTCAAATTGTCCAACTCAGTTTGAAATTTGAGTAAAAACTTAAGTTTGTTTGGAGAAATCGGGCCCGGACCTATATTAATCCTATATATATGTCCGTGTCTCTATTGCTCGATGTGGCCATAGTCTACTCTACATGCTGAGGTTACATAACTGAAATGTCAGTAGAAAGTAAAACGATTAGTTTCTTGTAGTTGTCCATCGCTTCGATTCTAGAGATGTTCATTGAGTGAAATGAGAGTGTACAAACTGTTGTGTTATCTGTTTGCCCAACGAGCCGAACCTTGAAACAGGAATGATAAAAGCGACATTGGAACCTTTTCAAACCGTTCCCAGAACCAACATGTATATTCTAGTGATCTTCATTCAACAAAAGGAATTTGGGCCAAAAGAAATGAGTCCCGACCCATAAAACGTTCTTAGCGTTCGTAACTCTATAGTTTACCATTGGTTTACGAATGAGGTAGCGCTACGAATGCTTTGTGGATCGATACTCTGCAGTATCCGGAACAAATTACCATTATTTACTCGGGGAAAATGCTTGTTTTGTACTCAGAATTGCAAAACTACAATAAACATAAATGTGTTCATATTGACCCTATCATTCCACACGTTTGTAAGGCTAAATGCCTTAAGAACTGAACGCCGATGATAAAATTCATATACTGTATATTATTACTATTTTTTCATTTCGTTTTTCAGTCAATGGTGGGTATTCCCCCTGGGGACAATGGAGTACTGGTGTCTGTTCAAGGACATGTGGAGTTGCTTCCAGGATCTTTACCAGAGTGAGGGTCTGTACCAACCCATCACCTCAGTTTGGCGGGCGCGACTGCACCCTGCTCGGATCTTCAAGTTCGACTGAAAGCAGACCATGCACGTTGCCTCGATGCCCAAGTAAGTAAACTCGCACACGGTACCATAAGCTATATGAGTGTCATTTCTCCATGCTGGGTCAACCACAAAAGAAATGCATGGACCGAGACATTATTACCAGACTCCCACAGGGTTGGAAAATAAATTAATTTAATACGATTTCCTCTACTTGTAAGACGCTCAACCTCTGCACTTGTACGCTGTAGTCATATTTCACTGTAGTCATAGGCGGTGGGGAAGTCTAGTGGTTAAAGCGTTCGCCTGTCACGCCGAAGACCCTGGTTCGATTCCCCACATGGGTACAATGTGTGAAGCCCATTTCTGGTGTCACCGTCGTTATAATGCCGGAATATTGTTAAACTCACTCATATTACGAAAGTAAAAACTGGATCTTTCTGGTCAGTCGATCACGTGATTGTCTAGTTTGTAGATAGTGTACCGATGTGGCAGGACTGCTGCTGTTTGGCAGTTAATATGTACTTTTTTGGCTATTCGTTTCCCGTCTTAGGCTATTCCCCACGTACTTATATTTCGTAAAGCCAGTTTCTGGTTCCACCCGTCGTTAGTGTTTTGTACTTACTCTTACATCGTCGTAAATCCAATTCATTTTCTCCAATATCCAACAATTCATATTTTGTGAAAATTACGACAATATCAACGAACCAACACGAAATTATTTTTGACAGAAAACTCTAAATGTCTGGGCGGTTTTGTTAACACGCTCTTACTAACCTTGAACCCGATCCACAAAGCATTCGTAGCATTACGACCTGTCGTAACAGTTTACCATAGGCTTACAAATGCCGTAGCGCTAAGCCCGCCACAATCGAGCCCCTGGCCCGGATTACAAATACTCTATGTGCTGAATATATGGTGATATATAAATTGTTTTCTTCAATGTGATTAGTCAATGGAGGAATCAGTCCGTGGGAACAGTGGTCTGGACCTGCCTGCGGGGTTACGTGTGGAGACCCAGGACGTACTCGCACTGTTGTCAGAGTGAGGACCTGCACCAATCCTGCTCCTCAAAATGGCGGCAGGGGATGTTCAGAGACTAGAAGTGAGACACAGACAAGACTCTGTGGACTTTCCTTGTGTCCAGGTACGTTGGAGACATTAGATATAATACCATTCCTATCATTAGTGTGTTCTATCATTGATGTTTTCTTTCTCGATGAATGCTAAGGAATTTTACTTGAATTTCAAATGACTAGTTTCATGATAATGTGTATATGCAATATTTTCCCGTAATTTTGAAAGAAAGGTCTTATTGTAGCAATTAGCGTATCATATCACCACAATCAAACAAATCGTGTTGACGTTCTCGACATCACATAATATGAGTCATAAGCAGAAACTTGTAAATTGTGTCGGAATCGTACCACTGATTCTGCTGTTAGCATTAATTCCTTGTTATTAAGGGAGCGTGGACCATATCGTGTTTATATCTGACTTTCAAAGTTCTTGAAAGGTATTTCGAAGTTGGACGAACATGACATGACACGTTTTATGGACAACAAATGCTTTTTATTCTTTTCACGACGTTAGAGAGTTAAGTCTTGCTCTTTCATTGATGAAATGTTTTTTCGTTCTCTCTATAAGTGAATGGAGGAGTGACACAATGGGGTCCGTGGGGACCTCCGGCCTGTGCTGTAAGCTGCGGAGCCGGGGCTACAGGAAGAACCACCAGATTCCGAACATGCACAAATCCTGCACCGACGAGTGGGGGCTCATTTTGCACTGAATCTTTGATCGCTACGAAAGAGGCTAGTTGTAATCTCAACAATTGTCCAGGTAAATATAATTTTACTGTTAGCATGTTCTTTGCTAATAAACTAACGGGCGAAAGAAACGTCAGCAAAATGATTTTTTTATCTTTTATCGTACACTAAGTGATTATTCATACCTATAGTTCACACTTTCATCATTCAGAATATTGTAAATCCATTTCTTTTCCAAATATGATTGTTAAATTTCCAAAATCTGAGTTTGTTGTTTTGTGACATGTTAAAAAAGCGAGGTGACGTTTCTTTCGAGTTTATAACAATTATTACTCAGGTGTTGACGTTATTACTCATATAGTCCCAGTCAGAATTATCATTTCATATTTATGTTTAGTTATAAAATGTAATGTGCATATATTACTATACACCATATTGATACAGGAGGTCGTGTTCTGTAACTGGGTGTTTGGGGAGCTTGTATATATTTTGGGACCCACATTTCAGTTGACGGCAACTGGACACCGTGGACACCTTGGCTGGATGCAGGGTGTCGCCAGACATGCGGTGCTGACGTCACACGGGAAATGTACAGAGTACGAACTTGTTCAAACCCATCCCCGCGAAACGGAGGACGAAATTGTACTGGCTCTGGCAGAGAATCGTTCCAACGCAACTGTGGTTTGAACCATTGCCCAGGTAAATTTGTAATTACTTCAAGGATAGACACACGAGGAATTCCAACCAAAACAAGCTCATATAAATTTAGACCTGTCGTAGGAAGAAAGAAAGAAATTGTTCCCGTATGATTTTGTGGGTGGTAACTATGGGACTTTACTAGACATCTTGAATAGTTACAAAGAGATGTTATTTGGGTGTATTTTGATTTGATAACTGTGAGTTTAACGGGATCAAACTCCTTACAATAATTTATACTTCCAACGGTATTATAGGAACGAGTCTATTGTCCTACGTATATGCTCATAAGCACGTGCCCATTCTCCTACCAATATACACATAGGCACGTGCCTATTGTCCTACATATATACTTATAAGCACGTGCCTGTTGTCCTACGTATATACTCATATGTAGTGCCCAAAGTCCATAAAATTATGCATCGATTCCACAACCACGAACGTCACTATAGCATTATCATCTTAAATTCTGATGATTTGACCCATCTTCTTTAGTTATGGATGAATGTATCATCTTGCACTGTTATAATCTTAATAACTTCTCTTTGTCATTCATTTGTCTATTATGTAAATGATTAACGTATTTTGATTTCTTTTTGTTACAGGCCTGATTGAAGGTGAGTACTATTTGATTGCACTTTTATAATTGCATATAATTGAGTCATAAATATATGTGATTCTGAAAACACTACAATTAGTATGTCCGGGGTGTATTATCCTTATCCCTTTCTTAAAGTAGTAGACAACGAATATTATTTGTTTAATTGTCAGAACTATTTCGATATTTGGATGAAATACTTTTGTTATAACAAATTGTTTACAAACGCATGTTGACTACGTTGCATGGTCTAATTTGCAGGCATTTGTCGGGACACAGTCAACTTCATGGGCGTAGGTTACCGCTATCATCCGGAAGACTGTGACAAATACGTCATGTGTTACTACAACACTACATCAGACGTTGTCGCTGTCTTCAAGACATGTCCATTTGGTCATTATTGGGACCAGATCAACCTGAGATGTGACCGCTCCTGGAAGGTTAACTGCCCCCTTGGTAAGCTGACTGCAGTATACTTACTGTGGCAAAGTGATTCTTTTATAGCAATCTGTAATGAGACCGCTGGTTAGAAATAACAATATCCTTACAACATACATGATGTTGAATAAAATTATGTATTGTTTATAAAATTGTAAACTATATTATATAAATATATTAACGCTAAGCTGTGTTATGTATGTGAAAAACAATGATAGAAAACTGACTTATAATGTACAGAATGTGTGTAAGAATAAGAGAGTATGAATTTAATATATATGCATATTTTAGGTAACATAGTTTAGGAAATATATATATATATTTGAATAGGTCAGTAAATATATTATAATCATATGTTGAAAGTGATTCCAAAAGACTAAAATAAAATTGAATTAAAAGATTTTGGAGGGACTGTCACAAAATATATTTCAAATCTTACCCACTAAGATACGGTTAGAATTTGATTTTAGTAATCAATAGTTGCGATTACTGGATAACAGAATTATGTGACTAGGAACGCTGACCAGGTTGATAAATGTCATCGTATCCAAGCTACCATGATCGATTCTCAATCACTTGATACTCTCTCATAAATATATATTTACGACCGCCGTCATATGAGCTGGAATATTGAGTGGGGCGTAAACCAACAAACAAATAATCATGATCTAACGATATCCGTTTCATCTTCCATAGAAAAATGCAACTCCGACTGCGAGCCCATCTACGACATGGACGGCAGCTGCCGTGCCTATTGGGCATGTACAAACGGGAGATCAGAGGCCCAGTGTTGCAGCGTAGGGTACAGGTTTATGCCAGGGAGAGGATGTATGCCGGATCCCTTCTGTACAGACCCTTGTCCTGTACCCTGCTTAGATGGCACAGGTTAGTTAACGTGGAAGGCCACAACCATATCTTCAACAATGTGTGAAGGGCGGAGCGGTAGCCTACTGGTTTAAGCGTTCGCTCGTCACGCTGAAGGCCCGGGTTCGATTCACCACATGGGTACATGTGAAGCCCATTTCTGGTGTCCCCTGCCGTGATATTGCTGGAATATAGCTAAAACCAGCGTAAAACTAAACTCAGTCAGTCAGTCATTTCTGGTGCACTCCGGTGATAATGCTTTATAGCGCTGAAACTAGATTCACTAAATCCACAATGTGTTACTCATACTGAACAAATCTACTGGTTTCAAACTCACAATGACAGACCCGACACTTGAGCTTCTACACAGAGCTAATCACCATCAGAGATTGTCATATGGTGACAATCATTTCTCTGTTCACACGTTAACACTACTATAATACTCCGTCAATCACAAGCCCGGATTATCATATTCTGTTAGTTTGTACCGTTATAGTGCTGATGTCATAGTGCCAGCTACCTCAGCATGCCACAGCTTGGTAAGAGGCCACTCTGTCGGAGCGTTTAAGTTGTGTGCTCACCAAAACACAAGCTTTCACGCATTCCTTCTTTTGGAATGCAAATTGAAGAAAGTGAATCAAAACGTCAAATTCAAATGCATCTTTTATCACCATCTTCTCCTTAAATAAATCACTTCATCGTAATGACGGAAATATAAAGGATTAGGTGCGTCGAAAATACTTATGATAGCCTTTTCACTATGTGCATATGTATTACGTTTGGTCATTTCAATCTAGAGTCCTGCGACAAGCGACCTGTCTGGACCTCGAGGACCTCCTATGTCATCCAGGCTGGTTCCATCGGATGGATGAACAGCGACTGTCCATTTGGTCAAGTCTATGACGTTGCCAAGTGCCAGTGTGTTGCCCAAACACCATGTAAGTCGCGTTTTGATCTTTGATACTAGCATAAGCCTCTCAGAATCCAAAGCATTTTTTAAAACATAACTGAAGACAGAAACGGGTTTCAGTATATTTTTGTAGAATTTACAGTTCACTGGAAGGATTCGTGTTTCCCAATTTACATATTAGATAGTTTCCTACAGATGACTAAAATCATCAATTCCAATTATGAAGCAGTATTGTGTAGTTAACTGTTTGTATTAGCGATTTTCTGAGATACATACATATGTATTAACCAAGTTGTTTATCGGGTCATGTTTCTCCTTTAGCATGCCCGCTTGCCCTCGGGGTGGAGTTCAACACTGCCAGCCCCACCGGCTGGACCCTTCAAAACGTTCCTATATTCGTAAATCAGTATGGTAGGTTCAACGGAAACAGTTTTGTTTCAACCAGTCAAGACCTGAGACGAACCAGCGCTGCATCAAGTATAGCTATCCGTTTCCGGTACAGAGAGAACGTACCCGTGTCATCAAGACAAGTGCTTGCAAAAAGTGTAGAATGTGCTGACTGTAGGAATGCTAGCTCACTTGTAATATATCTAGAACAGTCGGCGGTGCGTGTTGAGATGTCTACCTGGAGAGGAGGAGTGGTCCGTCTTCTTGCTTCAACCTCGGTGAGACAGAGCCATATTTATTAATATATAAAATAATATATAAAAATGTGTTTCATAATAAATAAGAGACAAAAACATCCCCACATCATCAGAAATATGTTTGTTGGAGTATTCCGACAATATCATGAGCACTTGTTATGATTCATTCTTTGAATTCTAGCACGTGTTAATAACAAGCTGAACCAATGCTGCCCATAAACGACATTTTCGTGACAGAAAGGTCAAAGAATTTCTTATAGTAATATACATATGCAATGCGTTTTCCTTCGATATGTATATGTAACTGAACAAAATGTGTGTTTTCCAACCAACATGTGCAACCTGTATTTTGGGGAAAATGATGAAGCTTAACCAGTTGGTATTGTCATACAGGGTTTCCAAACCAGTGAATGGAAGACTGTGACAGTTCTGTACGAAGGCTCTACTTTGACCGTGGTGATCAAGACTGCCAGCTACGAATATATAAACAGGGAATCGGGTAGGTCTTTCTAGATGAGATATCACTTGGTTGACTTACAATCAGTACTTTCACATTTCGGGGTTAACGACTTGTAAGGACCTAAATATTTATAATGGACGCCGTACAAAGAGCCATACATCAGAAGGTCCGGTACAAACGAATACTCTACACTTCTTTGTATGTATGCTACAATGGGAAGGAATGCTTTTGAGCCACTTGTGAATGCTTTCACATATTTAGTGATAGTTAACTGTTTCATTCACGATCTTTCAACATGTCCATGGTTGGTTACAATAGGACAACATATGTAACATAGTAGCCTGAATGGCATGTTGTGTATTTCATCAATGTATACATTGTACAGCCAATTGGTTAAACATAAATATTTTAATGACACAAAAACATATTGCAAACATTGGCTCTATATTCAGCTCCTGAGGCAATTCTCTTGACGTGCGGCTTCACCTTGGGATCAGATGGCTCTGCCACGGGTGGCTTTACAGGAGATGTGGACTACGTAAGTACTAGCTTCTACATACCTACAGTGCTGAGGTACAGGGCGCACACGTGTATACACATGGTCTAACATTACCTTTGTGATACACCCCCATTTCACTAGTCTTTACAAAAAGGCACGAACTGGTACGACTCTGCGGTCGTGGGAGCAGTGTATTCATGGAAGTCATGTCGAGACATCTGAATGAAATGAAAGAAATCCTTTCAATTCGTAGACACTGAATGACGAAGTTTTACATGAAGGGTATTCAATATAAATGTTCAGAGCTACACCCTTCAGTAATGTTCATAGTACTGGGGCACAACATTCCGTTGTTGGGGTCAGTCAGCTCTTTCAGTTTGTGTTGGCAAGATGACGTCATTATAGCAAACTGGTTGGAACATATGTTCATGTATAGACACCTGTTTCAGATTTTACCTTCCTTACTGGGCAAAGAATGTCAATTTCAATATGCCTTTGTTAAATAATACGGTTAAACGGTATGGCATATCTTTGGAATAGCTACTCTACAATACTATGACGTGGTGATCCATATTACCATATGCGGTAAACTGCATAGAGTAGACCACCCACCGTCTTATTGTTATGACAATAAATTTCTGATTCAAGGGATTCTTTTCATACAGTATCTGCCACTTTGCTTGTTCTTGCCATATTCTTTTACCCGTGATGATCCGGGTTAGAATTGGATCCGGGTCTTCAGTAACCCATGCTTGTCGTAAGAGGCGACTAAAGGGATCGGGTGGTCAGGCTCGCTGACTTGGTTGACACATGTCATCGTATCCCAATTGCTCATGCTGTTGATCACTGGATTGTCTGGTCCAGACTCGATTATTAACAGACCGCCGCCATATAGCTAGAATATTGCTGAGCGCGGCGTAAAACTCGCTCACTCACTCACTTACCATATTTTCTATTGTCTTTCAGATACGGTATTATAGGTGTAAGCCTACAGATTTCTACTAGGAACAGTGCCAACTTGCCCCTGCTAAGGTACAGGAACTAAGGCACCTTACCATGACATGACAAACATTCACAGAAACATTCGTGCATTGAGTGTGTGACTTTGATCGAACAAGGATCACTTAATTTTCATTCCTGCATGCATATGCTCAGTGATAATAGATAGTAGCATTCCGTATGATATAAATTTACAAGTGTTATATATTGGAAACGCGGCATGTGACACTTGTTATATGTACTTATTGCTTTATCGAAACTACAAGCTGTTTTGCGGATCTCTACGAGAGAAAGACATTGGTGCCACAATAGTTCCACGTGATATTAGTGTCGTATTGTTATGAGATTAGATTGTACAGTACATCGTTGATCGAAATGTTCTTGCCTCCATAAAGGCTGTAGATTTGTCTTTAGGTTACCTGTTTATTGTGCTTGATTTCATGTATGTTATATTGATAGTGCTATAACGCACATGCATATTATGTCCATTCTCACCTTCAAATGAATTACGAGATCGAATAGTAATTTTGTTCCTTCACATGTTACCGATTCCAATATTTATTCATGTAGTATTTCAATGGATCTCAGTTGTTTTCAGAAGGTTATTTTGCTGTTACTGCTGTAAACGTTGTGTCACTTCCTGTTTGTGTTTCGCTATTTTCATAATAAAATGTTCCTATTACATCCAACATGACTTTGTATTGTATCATTAGACTGAACGGAGGCTCGCCATACCAAACATAAGAGCACAACTGTTAGTAGTAAAGAACTGTTTATCTAGAGGACAAAATATCACTCACTGAATTGTTCGTGGAGAATTAATCATTGTTTGTGGTGTCACCGATGGAGCAGGATCCGCTCACCTTTTCGTTAACACCTGGTGTCATCACTGCTTGTTAGTCAGTCAAAACGACATGCACATTATATAACTGTCATACATATCATATGATGTAGGGGCGATGGGTAGCCTAGCAGTTAAAGAGTTCGCTCGTTACGACAAAAACCTGGCTGGATTCCTCACATGGGTGGGTACAACGTGTGAAGCCCATTTCTGGTGTCCCCCCACCGTGATAGTGCTGGGCTATTGCTAAATGCGGCGTAAAAGCTGAACTCATTCACTCACTCATATGCTCTATTGTTCACCGGGGTGGTTAACAGTAAACAGTTCTTCGTCAATTACCTTGAGGATTATGACACGTCATTTTGGGTAATTTTCTGGTGTAAATCTTGGATATGTAAGTGCATTTAGTTTTATGTCACAATCAGCAATATCGCAGGTGGGGTATATATTCATTTGCATTTGCATGATATGCATGTAGAGTTTCTGGTTCATGTCAGGTGGGCACCAGTTTATCAAGATTGGTATGGTTTCGGAGAAGACGTTCACATGTTTTGCTACTGGAATGAAGGACACATTCGCCATTTAAAATTTGAAGTCACCACTTTTGCAAATAAACATTGATAATGGGAGGAATGAAGCAAGTACGATTGGTTTTTACATTAAATTCCCATTCACTACACTATTATCGTCACTACATTTTCCAACAAAATAGAGACAAATCTTCAAATTCTACAGAAAGATTTGTAATAGAAATCTTAGTAAAGATACCTGATGAAAATGTGCCGACTACAGTTGGCTATGATTGGACGGGTTCTGTCACCTGTCAGACAGCGCCGATTTTCACTTATTCTACACATCACAGGTGGACCAAGTTAAAGGACGATTTTATATCGCTTTCTAATTGATGACTGTGTCCTAAATACGCTCAAAACATTTAAATTCAGACAAGTAGGGTCACTGTTCAAATGATGTCCAAAGCAATTTCAGACTTTGACTTGGACCATATAACGGGTTTCTTCAGGTGAACAATTTAACTGCCTTTGCATGTGTTTGTGACGGGAATCATTAACGAGTCAGGATACGCTCACCTATTCTGGAACACCTGATATAATCACTCTTTGATAGTGACTTAAAACACATACTTTTGTGCAGTCGGCGGTAAATTATTCGAGTTTGTGAGTTTAGTTTTACGCTGCACTCAGCAATATTCAAGCTATATGGCGGCGGTCTGTTAATAATCGAGTCTGGACCAGACAATCCAGTGATCAATAGCATGAAGCTCGATCTGCGCAATTGGGATACGGTGACAAGTGTCAACCAAGTCAGCGAGCCTGACCACCCGATCCCGTTAGTCGCCTCTTACGACAAGCATGGGTTGCTGAAGGTCAATTCTAACCCGGATCATCACAGGTAGAATATCATCTGAATAAATAATGAAACCATATGTTCACAAAAAAGGTCAAGCTAAAAACTACAGGGCTAGATGATGCACAGTCTCCATTAATACCGAGACAGATTTTATTCGGCGGGAAAGGCAGAGTAGCTGTAGAAATACATGAATGGATCAAGGCTCTCCTTCTCTACCAGTTACACCCGCCGAAATCAAAGTACACATAGGACATTCCCAAAACCTACTGATGCAACACACGTGTAACAAAGGTTGTCACCCACCAAGGTAACTACTCTAGTTTCACTGTGTAATGGTCTCGTTGGCAATGAAAACAGCAGTGGGTGTCGATGTTCGAGCTCTTTTCAGGGTACCACCAATTGAGAAGACACAGGCCACTGTATGACACACCGTTGAAGTATGTGTAATGGCCTATCTTCATGCACTGACAGGCAGTGTTGAGAAAACATGAAGATATTTATCAGCCGTGAACCTGTCTGTCGTTGGAAATTTAGCAATAAGAGTTCGTCGAAAGAAACACATGGAGCGATCGTCTATATACATGACAAAAGAACCATATGTTCAGAATTTGTGTATACGCGGTGAACCACTTGTTTCATACAGCGATTGCAAAGATAATGAATACTTAAGGCTGAAGGATGCTATGCAATGCACAAACTATGTACATCTATGAAATAGACATTATGTATTTCCTGAGTTATTGAGTGTTTTAAATGTTCATATAACAATTATAGCTGAGAATTTGCAAAGTCAGCTATCTGTATACGCGGTCGAACGCTTGTTACACAAAGCTATACGTTTGTGGAGAATGGTTGAAGCATGCACCTTATGTAATGTAAAAACTATATAATCCTTGAAATAGACATTTTGTATTTCCTGAGTTATTGAGTGTTTTAAATGTTCATATAACAATTATAGCTGAGAATCTGCAAAGTCAGCTATCTGTATACGCGCGTGTCGAACGCTTGTTACACAAAGCTATACGTTTGTGGAGAATCCTTAAGGTTGAAGCATGCACCTTATGTAATGTAAAAACTATATAATCCTTGAAATAGACATTTTGTATTTCCTGAGTTATTGAGTGTTTTAAATGTTCATATAACAATTATAGCTGAGAATCTGCAAAGTCAGCTATCTGTATACGCGGTCGAACGCTTGTTACACAAAGCTATACGTTTGTGGAGAATCCTTAAGGTTGAAGCATGCACCTTATGTAATGTAAAAACTATATAATCCTTGAAATAGACATTATGTATTTCCTGAGTTATTGAGTGTTTTAAATGTTCATATAACAATTATAGCTGAGAATCTGCAAAGTCAGCTATCTGTATACGCGGTCGAACGCCTTGTTACACAAAGCTATACGTTTGTGGAGAATCCTTAAGGTTGAAGCATGCACCTTATGTAATGTAAAAACTATATAATCCTTGAAATAGACATTTTGTATTTCCTGAGTTATTGAGTGTTTTAAATGTTCATATAACAATTATAGCTGAGAATTTGCAAAGTCAGCTATCTGTATACGCGGTCGAACGCTTGTTACACAAAGCTATACGTTTGTGGAGAATCCTTAAGGTTGAAGCATGCACCTTATGTAATGTAAAACTATATAATCCTTTGAAATAGACATTATGTATTTCCTGAGTTATTGAGTGTTTTAAATGTTCATGTAACAATTATAGCTGAGAATTTGCAAAGTCAGCTATCTGTATACGCGGTCGAACGCTTGTTACACAAAGCTATACGTTTGTGGAGAATGGTTGAAGCATGCACCTTAAATGTAAAATGTAAAAACTATATAATCCTTGAAATAGACATTTTGTATTTCCTGAGTTATTGAGTGTTTTAAATGTTCATATAACAATTATAGCTGAGAATCTGCAAAGTCAGCTATCTGTATACGCGGTCGAACGCTTGCTACACAAAGCTATACGTTTGTGGAGAATGGTTGAAGCATGATGCACCTTATGTAATGTAAAAACTATATAATCCTTGAAATAGACATTATGTATTTCCTGAGTTATTGAGTGTTTTAAATGTTCATGTAACAATTATAGCTGAGAATCTGCAAAGTCAGCTATCTGTATACGCGGTCGAACGCTTGCTACACAAAGCTATACGTTTGTGGAGAATGGTTGAAGCATGCACCTTATGTAATGTAAAAACTATATAATCCTTGAAATAGACATTATGTATTTCCTGAGTTATTGAGTGTTTTAAATGTTCATGTAACAATTATAGCTGAGAATCTGCAAAGTCAGCTATCTGTATACATGCGGTCGAACGCTTGCTACACAAAGCTATACGTTTGTGGAGAATGGTTGAAGCATGCACCTTATGTAATGTAAAACTATATAATCCTTGAAATAGACATTATGTATTTCCTGAGTTATTGAGTGTTTTAAATGTTCATGTAACAATTATAGCTGAGAATCTGCAAAGTCAGCTATCTGTATACGCGGTCGAACGCTTGCTACACAAAGCTATACGTTTGTGGAGAATGGTTGAAGCATGCACCTTATGTAATGTAAAAACTATATAATCTTTGAAATAGACATTATGTATTTCCTGAGTTATTGAGTGTTTTAAATGTTCATATAACAATTATAGCTGAGAATCTGCAAAGTCAGCTATCTGTATACGCGGTCGAACGCTTGTTACACAAAGCTATACGTTTGTGGAGAATGGTTGAAGCATGCACCTTATGTAATGTAAAAACTATATAATCCTTGAAATAGACATTATGTATTTCCTGAGTTATTGAGTGTTTTAAATGTTCATATAACAATTATAGCTGAGAATCTGCAAAGTCAGCTATCTGTATATACGCGGTCGAACGCTTGTTACACAAAGCTATACGTTTGTGGAGAATCCTTAAGGTTGAAGCATGCACCTTATGTAATGTAAAACTATATAATCCTTGAAATAGACATTATGTATTTCCTGAGTTATTGAGTGTTTTAAATGTTCATATAACAATTATAGCTGAGAATCTGCAAAGTCAGCTATCTGTATACGCGGTCGAACGCTTGTTACACAAAGCTATACGTTTGTGGAGAATGGTTGAAGCATGCACCTTATGTAATGTAAAACTATATAATCCTTGAAATAGACATTATGTATTTCCTGAGTTATTGAGTGTTTTAAATGTTCATATAACAATTATAGCTGAGAATCTGCAAAGTCAGCTATCTGTATACGCGGTCGAACGCTTGCTACACAAAGCTATACGTTTGTGGAGAATGGTTGAAGCATGCACCTTATGTAATGTAAAAACTATATAATCCTTGAAATAGACATTATGTATTTCCTGAGTTATTGAGTGTTTTAAATGTTCATATAACAATTATAGCTGAGAATTTGCAAAGTCAGCTATCTGTATACGCGGTCGAACGCTTGTTACACAAAGCTATACGTTTGTGGAGAATCCTTAAG